GTGTTCTGACTACAGTAAGGCATGTCAGGACACGCTCTAGACTGAATAGGATAAGCCCTGTTGCTTGAAACCCAGCCTTAATGTTGCTCTCTGATAGGGCAGTCTGCCTGATCCTTAAGTATATCTATAGGAAGTCATGCTTGTCCACATGGAAGATACTTTGGCGGGCAAGCTCAGACACCTCATGTCCATACAACATCTTAAGAGGAGAATAGCAGCCAACGTTAAGTGGCTGGAGGAGGTGTGACGTGTGAGGAGGCATACAGAGAGTGATAATTAGATTGTCTGCACAGTACTAATCAAACTCAGGTGTAGCGTGGCTGCTGTGACTGTCAAGAATGAGTAGCCGACGAGCACCTGATGAGCAAGTCTGTGTGTGCCTGGTAAAGTGCTTTACCCAGTCAAGGCCTAGCTTATCTGTTGTCCAGCCGTTGTCACTAACAGCAACAGTCCAGTCAAGTGGGAGATCTTGATACTAGCTAGCCTGGTGGAGCTTCCCTGCCAGTATGAGGAAGGGTGGGATAGACCAACCTGACGCGTTAATACACTTAATTGTTGTCACCCACTCGCGATTGCCTGGCTGAATAACTGTAGCGCGACTAACTGTGTTAGAGCTGGTGACTACCTTTGACGTTGAAGCCACCCCTATTATGAACCTAGTCTTATTAAAGTTGTAGACGTCCTTATTAGGTATTCCATATGTGACGCGTGTCTCCTCTACCAGCCTGAACCACGCGCTAATCCTGACAGGATCTTCACAGCGTGCCCTCTGAGAGTGGAATTTCCTATTCTATTTTGTCTGAAGCTCTGGCTGGCGGTTGATGAAGCGTGACACCCAGCACTTGCCGATAGGTGGGGGAGGAGGATCTTGGCCGCGGCCAGCGAGTAGCGCGTCTGCCATACGTCGTACGTCAATAATCTGGGGTGGAAACCCGCGATGGTCAAGGTCTAAGATCCACTAAATAAGGGACTCCTCTTTAACAGGGCTAAGCTTTTAGTTAACATGCGTTGCCTTGTGTTTAGGGAGGATACCTTAAAGGCGTGTCTGACGAGTTGATTGTGGGACATTGTAAGCCCTTGCAAGGGCACGGAGGGACTGAGAAGGTCTATTCTGAAAAGATACAATAGCAAGGTTTAATCTGCCTTCTTGAGAAGGCTGTACAGGTTGTTAGTGTGGTATCATGGCTAATAGGATAAGACGCGTTGAGCGCGTTTTAGTGGGGTGGCCAGGATACTGATGTGGCCAGCTTACTGATAGAACACGTTAGAGGAATGAGCGGCCACCCTAGTAGGATGTAGTAGCCGAGTGACAACGGCGCGGGCTCTCACATCGCGGGAGCATCTTATCGTAAACATCTTCTCGTAAGCATCAGAAGCCCTATTAATTGACAGGCCTTCCGTAATTCGACGCTGAAAACTTCCTCGTTTCATGAATTCGAAGCTTGTAGTCGGCCATTTTCACAGAGACAGGTACGGCCGGGCCCACTTCGGCAATCGATGGTCACCCACTCTTACTTTCGCAAGGCTGCTGCCTGTCTAGTCCTGAGTCTGTACTAGCGTGCCAAGCCACGACCGAATACTTAAACTCCTCGCATCTCGTCCTCATTCTTCCTTCTTTAGCTCTCTTTGCCTTTTGGCTTAGATCAAGTGTAGTATCTGTTCTTTTTAGTTTAATGTAAGTTTCTCATCACTCCAGTAACATGAGTCTCATTAACAGTTTTAAGCGCTAAAACGTCTTTACGAAGACATTTATGATTAAATTTATTTTTGTATTCCGCCTTTGGGTCACTGGGCTTGCTCACACTCATCGGCACAGTGTCGCCGGTATCGCACTTCCTCCGGTGTACGCGACCTTTTCATCGAGATGACTGGCATGCCAGTTGCTCGAGGAAGAGTCCCTGCCTGTGATGTTTCGATTCTGGGTGAAGCCATGCGACTGCGACGCATCGAGTGCTTGTTTGCCGTGATGTTTTGTCGGAGAACTACTGCGCACGATGTACATCTCCCTGTCAGCCAACGATGCAAATCATCGTACAATGGCACCTGCCTGCTGTGAAGTCGTGATGTTGTAAGCCGCCTAATCAAATTTTCGTCGCTGATTGTTGCGCCAAACAACACCAACTTCACCTGTGACGCCGCACTTCTCGCGAAAAGCCACGAACCTGCACATCATAATGGCGTCACAATCAGGCATGGTCGATCCGGCCATCTTCCAGGACCTCCAGGCTCGCGTGGACGAGGACACAGCTGTCCGTGACGTGAGAGAACTCACTGCAAAGGCGCACATGAACACATACTTATAGCGCGACAGGAGCTGAAGGACATCATTCAAGCACTCGAGAAGCACAGTAAGATGGCAGGAGACACCAAAGAGCACAAGCTAACCCAGGTCAGACCGCAATGTCTCATTCGTGCTGTCAAGAGCACACTCGACGCCCGTCGCCAATCGTGAGCTTCTCATCAGACCCAAACACGCCTTTGCTCACCAGCATAGTCCCTGAAGTCCTGAAGGCAGCAGAAGAGGCCATCAACACCGTCGTCGAAGACGTGTCGAAGCTGTCGCAGGCCGCATCAAAGCTGCCCTACTACAAGTTCAACAACATGTGGTCTCGCCAGATGCAGAGCGCGGTACGTCATTCACGCTTGATGCAACGACAATGCTGACGTCTCTGCAGGTAGAAGGCCTTCTTTTCTGGAGCTGGTTGGGTGGCTACAAGTACGACGGCGGAGAGATCAAGGCTGGTCGTCTGCTTACCATCGAAGAGTTGGGCGAGATCTTGAAGAGTATGTACTATCATTGTCTATTGAAGCAGGCAACTGACGCTACGCAGTCCCGGTCAACCTGAAGGAGCGAGACGAGTTCCACCTCACACTTGAAGAGTACCTGCAGTCTCTCATCTCGCTCGTAGAAGAGCTGGTGCGAAATCCTGATATCCATTTCCCGCAGATATTCGCTGACATTACATAGACACGCCTTGCACGCAACGCTGTCACTCTTGGTGACTACGAGCGTCCTCTGCTCATCAACCAGTTTGTCAAGGACCTGTTTGCTGGCTTCCAGATCCTCAACCTGAAGAACGACAGTTTGCGCCGCCGCGGTGACGGACTTAAGTACAGGGTCAAGGATGTGGAAGATGTTGTGTACGATCTCTCGTTGAGGAATCTGCTGCCCAAGGAGTAGGCAGCTTGAAGGGCGTTCAGCAATGAACGTACTGGGACGCAGCGAAGCATCCCAACAGCTAGAGACGCCAACCTGACAGTGTCAAGCCTGATCAAAAAAGTCACAAACCAAAATCTTCACCATATCTTCGCGAGTCATCTCTGCGTACAGACTGTGAGACCATCGAGGTGCTCGGAGATTGCTCGCGCTAGACGTCAGCGTCAGCGCTGCACGGGCACAATCCCAAAACTTTGACATCAACACCAGTACAGCACCAACACGGCCCGGTGTCACTTCCACCTCTTTGCCCGTCTCACAGCTTTTCTTAGATCATTCTTCACATCCCCGCGACACTCACCCAATTTCCCGTCGTTCAGCACAATGGCCAGCGCAACCGGCATCCCCGGCATCCCAGCACCAAAGGCGCCCGCAACGCCCGTCGAGCCTCTCAACACGAATGCCGCGCGCATCTACACGCACACCCACCCAATTCTCGTTCTCTCGCTTTACGCGTTCAAGTTCAATGACCTCATCGCCGACCCTGTTTCCACGCTCTTGAGCACGCTGCTCCCCCTCGCAGTGCTGCAGATAGCATACGTAGCTGTATGCCTGCCGCCGACAAGCGGTACAAGCACGCCGGCCCAGTTTAAGAAGCAAAGGCTCGGCGACAAGAAGAAGGCAGCACCTGGCAAGGTCGAGAAGGGCGTCAATGGGACGATTGTGGTACGCTGGACGCATCATAACGGGATCTGCAAGAAATGACACACCACATAGCCCGCTTTCCTCTCGCTCCTCCTCACGACTCTGGCTTCTACACCCCTCCTCACCGCCACCCTCGTTCTCTTCGGCGCCCCAGTGACCACGCACCACACGCACACGCTCCTCGCCGGTGCACACATTGCGGTGCTGGGCACGCTGCCGCTCGTCTACATCCACGGCGTCAGCGGTGAGACTTGGAGGGAGGCTGTTGCGCTCCTGCTCCCCATGGACGACGTCTATGGTGGCTTGATTGGCACGGTGTTGGGTGCTTGGCTCGGCGCTGTGCCTATTCCTTTGGACTGGTAAGTCGAGATTGACGAGCTTGGGCCCGGTATACTGACTTTTGATAGGGACCGCGAATGGCAGAAGTGGCCTGTTACGATTGTCACGGGCGCGTACATTGGGTATGCTGTTGGTAAGCTCTTGGGGGGGACCTTGCTCAAGGGCAAGAAGATTATGTTCGAGTGAGTGCGGACAGTGTTTCAGTCGTACAGCATTTCGACAAGCAGCATTACTAGACGCATAATATCCGCATCAACAATGCGTTGCGGGTCATGTATTACTCCTAAACTCGTTTACGCTATGCAACCTTACCTACGCTTAGCCATGCGCAGGAGTCATCGGAGAGGCACACAGCTGCCGACCTTGTTAGCCGCTCATACACGACTGCGTCAAGCAATTTGCTCCAAGAAACTACCGGAGCAACTGTCCGTACAGTGCCGCCTACACGACACACCTCCGGCTTGTCGCACCTGCAGCCGTGCACGCTACCGCTACCGGGTGCTCTCCGCATCCCGTCCGGAGGCCTTCCGAGGCGATCTAACACCTCAGCATCATGACTTTGAATCCACAAGATGTATATATAGCACCCAGTAGCGTCCCTGAACATTCAGCATTTCACAAGACATCACTCTCACAGTCCCATCACCTGGGGTTGCACCTACGTTTCGGTCGCTGCTAACCCCTCTTACTCCAATACATCTACTACCAACACACACCGAGCCTCAACACCATGCCAAAGACAGGCGTCCTGATAGTCGGCTCGGGCTCTGCAGGCATATTCGCCGCAACCTGGCTGGCGATCTACAACATCCCCTTCACAATCCTCGAGCGGCGTCCTGGGCCCCTGGAAATTGGACAAGCAGACGGTGTCCAAGTGCGCACCGTCGAGATCTACGACTCCTTTGGACTGGCTGAAGACCTGCTCCGAGAAGCGTACCACATTTACGAAGTCTGCTTTTGGGGTGTCGATGATGAACAGGAGTACGGCGGTATCACGCGGAAGAGCAGGAGTATCGACACAGAGACAGGGTTGAGCCACCTGCCGCATGTAATCCTCAATCAAGCGCGGATGAATGGATTGATGCTGGGCAAGATGGAGAAGATTATGAAAGAGAAGGGGACATGGAAGGAAGGTAGTGCAAATGGGATCAAATATGGATGGACAGTTACCGGCATCGAAGTCGACCAATCCACCGTCGCAGACCCAGACGCGCACTGTGTCCGCGTTTCCGCGACCAAAGACAGCGCACACGAGACCTGGGAAGCGAAATACGTCCTGGTAAGCTCCTTTCAACACCCAATGGCGTATCGTCGCTGGACTGACAATAAACAGGGCTGCGACGGCGCACACTCAACCGTCCGCCGCTCCCTCTCCTACACCATGCTCGGCGACTCCACCGACACAGTCTGGGGCGTCATGGACATCTACCCGGTGACGTCCTTCCCCGACATCCGTCGGAAATGCACTGTCCACTCGCGCTCGGGCAACCTTATGATCATCCCCCGCGAAGGTGGCTCCCTAGTGCGCTTCTACATCCAGCTCCCTGCGGGCGCATCGCCAAAAGACGTCAAAATCGAAGATCTGCAGAGCCAGGCAAAAGCCATCTTCGCGCCGTACCCAATGGACTTCGCCGAGACGTTCTGGTGGAGCGCGTACAGCATTGGTCAGCGCCTTGCCGAACAGTTCCACAAGGATATGCGCGTATTCCTCACCGGCGACGCATGCCACACGCACTCCCCCAAGGCAGGCCAGGGTATGAACGTCAGTCTGCAGGACGGATACAATATCGGTTGGAAACTGGGCTCCGTCCTGTCCCACCTCTCCCCCCCGTCAATTCTGCAGAGTTACGTGCAGGAGAGGAGCAAAACGGCGGCCGACCTGATCGCGTTCGATAAAGAGCTGAGTCGGTTGTTCAGCAGGAAGGAGGAACGGGAGGGCGAATTTGCCGCGTATTTCACAAAGAGTGGGCGGTACATGGCTGGATTTACGAGCAGGTACGAAGACAGTCTCGTCACGCGTTTGCAAGGAAGTCAAGAGCAGGAAGCGAGCAAGGTCGGGGTTGGTATGCGGTTCCCCAGCGCCCAGGTTATTCGGTTCTGCGATGCAAAGCCCGTGCAGTTGCAGCCCGTGTGCAGGAGCGATGGGCGGTGGAGGCTCTTCGTGTTTGCGGGGGACGTTAGGCGAGTGCAGTGCAGGGAGAGATTGAATAAGGTGAGTTCTTCATCCTTGGTCTTTTGTTTGGTGTCCTGACGATACGCAGTTTTCGAGGTCGATTGAGCACACAATTCAGCGCTTCACTCCGCCAGAAGGACATCCTGATGCTGTCATCGAGCCGATCCTCGTCCTTGCTACCAGGTTGAAGGAAACTGAGCAGAACATGGTTCCGGATGTGTTCAGTCCAAAGACCGGAAAGTGGGGTATCAAGGATGTACACAAAACGTATGTCGATGACGAGCACTATAATGCTGGACATGGCCATGCGTACGAGCAGTATGGGGTGGATGAGGGGAAAGGCGCGGTGGTTGTTGTTCGACCAGACCAGTATGTTGCGAAGGTGCTGGCTTTGGAGGATGCAGTAGGCGTGGAGACATTCTTCGAGGGCTGTCTGTTAGAGCAGAGGGCTATGGTGAATGAGTCGAGCAAGCATTGAGCTGCCTACACATCTCTCCAGCTTCCCACCTCTATCCCGGGTCTAGAAGTTGTCCCAATGCACACCCCTCCCTTTTTATTTCGCCAACTCAACTTGCGTGCTCGGGCTGGTACTAGGAATAGTTATGGCCGGATTAATGAAGCTGGGATTAGAGAAATTGTCTGTTATGTCTGAGACTTTGAGTTGGGGGAGCAAAGAGAGAATGCATTTTACGACGAAATTCCCGTTGTTATCGGAGAGGATTGTGAATGTCGTGTTGGGAAATGTGGAGGTTGCTGGATAGGACAAAACTCAGGTATGGTTGCACATATGGTGGGCTAGAAGTCTTTACACATGCCACCATTCTCTCTTGCTCTGACCGCAGAAAGGTCCGTCTTCCTCACTTTCAGCTTCATGATCTTTGATCTCGACTTTACAAGGTCGCCTCCGAGAATGACCGCTGCCGCCTCTTCTCTTGCCCTATATTCGTGCCCGAGAAACTCGACTTCGTCGCAGAACCATTGCAGTCTCTGCTTGTACTTCTTTTCTGGGTTGCCATGTAGATCACGAGCGCTCATCGGCTCTCGAGCATCAATCAGCACATTCTCTTCGTAGCGCAGTTGAGTATGACAGCGATGTCGATCGTACCTCACTGCGATACTCAAGCGACGAGGTTCGATCGTTGTGAATGCTGTAGTACTTGTATTATCGGGATTAGCCATGAAACGCCAACGGTCTGCGAGTCGAAGCCGCGGACTGATGGCGTGGAGGTAGAGTGGGCTGTTTAGAAAAAAAACAAGATCATCTATGCAGAGCCAGCGCCGATTGGAAAAGCTAACGGATCACTCTTACCCAGGGTCTTATGCCCATCGCCGGGCGTCAGATTGGCTGTCACCTTCGATAGTTCGACACTGAAGTGTCGGCGTAAGTCGAGGGTTCGGATGTGCGCAAGGAGTTTCGGTGGAAGTTCGAGGCGAGTAAGCTTCGTCGTCATCGTTGATTATGAGTGTTGTTGATTGCGTGACAATCGCGTCGCTGTAAAAGTCTTAGTGATGAGTTGTGGGCTCAAAGTAAGCTAATCGAGAAGCACTCACGATAGAATCTCTCATTTTCGTGGCTCTCTCACTGCGGCGCTTGATACATGGAGTTTTCGCACGCTTGCAGTCGGCGTGTAAAAATGCTACTTTCTCAGGCGAGAGAGGCTTTTTGCACACGTTCCAGAGCTCTACCTTAAATCCGCTCCACCTTAAATCTCCTCTACTTTAAATCTGCTCTACTTTAAATCTGCTATACCTACACTTATTTACAAGTTGCCAGAGATTCCTTCTCGAGGCAAGCATTCCTACTGGCGCGTCATAGTTGAGGTTGCAAACCCCAATGCTTGCTCTACATGTGTATGTACATATGTCGCTCAGTGTTATACCTCTATCGGGCATATCGTGTTCAATGTCGCACGCCTAATTTCTATCGAAACGTCCTCCTGCGAAACACACATGCCTCCACACCCATGTGATGCAACTCCTAGCAAACCCCTAAAGCAGAAAGCATGTACCTGTATAACCAAAGCGATCAAACAATGGGCTCTAAGGGAATACTAGCCATAGGCTCTCTACCACTCTGCCCATAACAGCTGTACATCGGATCCCTCACACCCGTCCAGCCAACACACTTCCAGCATTGAAACAAACCCGTAGGGTCGTATTGCTTCTTGACCTCCAGCAACCTGTCGTAGTTACTTCCAAAGAAAGTCTGCTGCCAGTTCTCCTCCATCCAATCTCCCTCGTTGACATAGCACCCCCCCTCGGGCGTCAGCGTTTTCAACGGCTGTATCGACGCGCTGATCGAGTTCTGCATCTGCGTGCGCTGCGCGGGGGTGTTGGACGCTGTCCAGCCCCCGCCCATGATGACTTCCCATAGGCTCTCGCGCCACAGTGGATGTGCGGAGGTTGCGCTGCCGTCGGGGTGGTTAGCGGGGCCGGTGGAGTAGAGTTGTGCGCTGCCGCCGCCGCGGTTGGTGTATGAGAATTGCATGGCAGTAAGGACCGCGGAGATCAGTTTGGAGATATCCTGAGGCGTGTTAAAGAGGTTTCGGGGGATGAAGCGGCCGGATTCTGATAGCCCGAGGCCAACAGGGCCGTTGCGCGCGATGCAGGGTTGTTCGGTGAAGGCGTGCCATTCGGAGAATTTGGAGAAGGTGTGGTAGGAGTTGTTGTAGACTTTGATGCCGGGATAGGCGTCAAGGAAGTCGTAGTACTGCCTTGACACAGTCTTGAGGACTGAGGTGTCGGTCGAGGGCACGATGTGCAAAGACACCATGTGGTCGGGCAGTATGAAGTTGTAGCCCGCAATGCCGATCTGTGAGAAGAATGTCTGATTCGACGCCAGTGCGCTGATGATGTCGCGGTGGATCTTTGACTCGGTAATATCCGTAGGCTTGGGCCAGTAGGCCTGGAAGAAGTGTACGTTAAGCGGCACCGCCCGATGGAGCTGAAACTTGTATGTGATTAAGACGGCATAATTACCACCTCCACCTCCCCGGATGGCCCAGAAGAGGTCTGGGTCAGTACACTCGTTGATGGTCCGCTTCTGGCCATCAGCTGTCACGACATCGAACTCGACTGCCTGATCGACCATGAGGCCATAAGTGGGACCAAGCGGACCATGGCCGCCTCCCTGACCGAAGCCTCCAGCAATACCCACGGAGCCGACAGCGCCGACCGTGACGAGCATGTCAAGAGGTTCAAAGAATTCCCAAGCTTCTTGTGCTTGAACACCAGCACCAATTTCACCAATGTTCTCATACTGCGCCTTGCAGTCTTGTGTTTGAAAGGTCTTGTGGTACTTTATATCCTTCATATTGTGTGTCCAGATGCCAAGTGAGTTCGCCGCACTTGATCGCCCGAAGTAGTCATGGCCTGTGTTCTTGATCGAGACTCGGATACCGTGCTGGCGGACGAAGTTCAGTGTCTTGCTGATGTCTTCTGCCGAGTGGGCCTCAACATAGTATGTTGATAGTCGTCCAAGTCCACATAAACCTGATGCAGGGGACGAAGGATGCAATGAGTCAAGATAGCAGTGCGACTGTCCGCATGTCTCCCAGTCGAGGAACTCCATCGCTCCATACTGTGCAGTTCGAGAGGCGCCGTCCATGTAGCCATGTCTAATCCGTTGACATTGCTTGCTTGATGGTTCCGAGTAGCATACTGAAGCCCACGGCACGGTCAACCGGAGGTTGCCATCGATACTCTGGTTGAAAGCGGACCATTGACTCTCGGACGGCCAGCAGGCTTGATCCGGTATACACGAGTAGTTCGAAGGGAAAATTGGTACTGCGATGCCCGACGACAACTGGTGCGAACTCGCCTTCCATGTGTTTGGCCTGAAGACGCCGAGGAACGTATGCGAAGCGGAGCATGCCAGATGTATTCCCATCGCAGATGTGCACAACAAAGCGACCTTCCCGATCACCGGCATTTTCCTGGCTGGCTTTTGTGATGTGGCAGACCATTGTTTGATGTCTGTAAACTTCCCGCGCAGCAGCGGCGCGTGCTTGTGGTGAGCCATTGTGGCGAGCAACAGCAGTGAATGCTGCCGGCTTCTTCGTATAAACGTTTCGTATATCCTCTTGCTTCGTAATTTGTGCGTAACGATGGAGAGTAGTAGTAAGATGCTGCCGATTGACCAAAACAGTGAGCCGAAAGATGGGTATAATGCAGTGATTCAAGAGAAGGAAGGCGGAACGCGATGATAAGATCAAATTCTAGAGAGGCCGTTCGACACTACTGGCCAATTGGCAGCTGCAACTGGACTCTGGATAGTCCTGCGGCCCCGTCAGCTCGTGAAATACCGCATACGGCAAATGCGCGAGGGCTGACTGAACCCTCAGTCTCAGCCCCCGCTGGGTGAGCAAACAAGGGACCAACTGCAGGCGCGTGGCGCGTGCAGTGGATTGTCCTATCATCGCCTTCTGTGCAACGCGAGAACAAGGCGACAACGAGGGCGCAAGGCAACAACTTCAACTCCTCCATAATGGAATAGTCCTTGTGGTCTCGTGGCAAACCGAAGCCGTGGTTCGTGGTTGGTGGTACACAATGAGCCGCGATCTTGGTGGGTTCGAGTACCCCGCTTGTTCGGGTCAGCATTCGCTTCACATTCACTCTTCCGCTTGGCTAAAGTCAGAACGCCCCCAATCGCCATCAATGCAAGGCACACTTCGCTGCAGGGTCCTGGCTGCGCCTCAGGAAGGCCTAAATCTGGTGAGAACTTCAGATATATCGGGCCTAATACTGCTTATCATCCCACGCATATCAGAGGATGATGGCACCAGGCAGGCTGCGACTGCCTCTAGTGTCGAATCAGTGGCTGTTGTGACGGCAATCGCTTGTTGTTGACATAAGCGTCGCTAGCCATGCTGTGATCGTTCACCGCGCGACCAGGTCCTCCTCTCAGTCGCCCCGTCATGGCCCAGCTGGCTCATTTGCACATCCAGCTTGACAGACCTGTGAGGACTGTTTGATCCACAGTGAACTGCCTGGCTTACTACCAATATGTCTAGGAGGACTGCGCTGTGGGGTCAATTCTCCCAGCGAGCAGGTGTCTGGCTCTCAGCCTCGAACCTGCAGCTTAGAAGAACTCGAACTGATTCCACCAGATGTACGCGACGATAGCAACGACATTGGCTGCCGCATAGGAGAGGCTCATCTCGATAACACTCCAGACCCACAGCGCACCGACTGGAGGAGCAGTCTTCATGACATAGAAGTAGCCCTTGGTGTTTGCTGCCCATACGATGTAGCAGCCAGCTGCAATAGAGCCGACCAGGAACGCCAGATTGCGCAGGACTGGGAATCGATTCGAGAACTCAACGTGGGTGAGGTATACGAGAACGGCGAAAATTGGTGAGGCAGCAACGGCGCGCTTGAAAATCTCGTCCCAGAGAATGGCCTCGCGGTATTGGTTGTAGACGATAACATCGAGGGTAAGGTGCAGCGCAGTCATCGAGATGGCATAAAGGATAGCGTCTCCTACGGCGCCGACAGGCTCATTAAGAGCCTCTTGCACCTCCAAAATTCGACTTTTGGGCTTCGCTGCATCAAGTTCTCGCTGTCGTTCGTCGGCGAGCTCGAAGAGTGTTTTGCCCTTTGGCCCAGCGCGGTCTGGGTGCTTCAAAATGCTCCTGATGCTCTCTTCGTCGAGCTCGGTGTGGGGATCGAACGGGTGCGGAGTCGTCTTGTTCGCTTCTTTCGCTCGCCGCTCTTTGCGGTTGCTGGCGGCCATGGTGGTAGTAGAGCGTAATTTGTGTTGTTTATTTTGCGTCGTGTGAGGACAAATGTTGAGTTGTGGCTCAACCCGCGGAAGAGGACCCTGAATGACGGAGTGGCCAAAGCGCCTTCCCCCTTCCACACAGCACCTTCTCATAAGAACATGTCGGCATAGTTTTCTACCTTCAGGTACCTTTATGACACCTTTCCTACAGGGTCACCATGAATTGGTTTGTTGCGGGCTCTGTGCCCCTCATCGTTGTTGGATTCTGGTTGTACACGAGCACTCTAAGCCTGTCCTTCCCCACACTTCAGAACAAGCGCATTCTGTTGCTCATAGCTCATCCTGACGACGAGGCAATGTTTTTTGCGCCTACTCTGCTGTCTTTGACGCGCCCAGAGCTTGGAAATCACGTGAAGATCTTGTGTCTAAGCAGCGGTATGCGAGATCGAAGATCATCACGTGGGATGTGAGCTGACGTGAGGCGTAGGCAATGCTGATGGTCTCGGTGAGACGCGCAAGAAAGAGCTAGTCAAGAGTGGTCTGCAGCTCGGAATCGGTAATAAGGATGATATCCTCGTCATTGAAGACAAGTCAGTGCCAACAATGGACAGACGACTGCTGGCTAACTGTGTAGAAGGAATTTCCCTGATTCCATGACCGTGACCTGGCATCCTCGTCTCATCTCCAATCTTCTAACGACTACTTTCGCCCCAAAGATGGCCTTGATACAGGCCAAGGACGCTCCGCAAGCCAACATTGATGCCATCATCACGTTTGATGCGCATGGTGTTTCCGGTCACCCGAACCACAAATCGCTCTATGACGGCGCGCATACTTTTTTGAAAGCACTCATGCATCGGCATAGCGGCTGGGATTGTCCCATCAAGCTCTATACGCTGACCACAACCTCCATCTTCCGCAAATACGCAAGCTTGATAGACGCACCCGCTACGCTAGTCACGGCAATCACCAGGAAGAAAGAGCTTGGCAACTTTCCAACACCGCTGCTAGCTGTCAGCTCTCCGTTCGCCTACAGGACAGCTCAGAAGGCTATGACGACTGCGCACGAGAGTCAAATGCGCTGGTTTCGTTGGGGTTGGATCTCGCTCTCACGCTACATGGTCTTGAATGACTTAAAGAAAGAGAAGACTTTGTAACGGACCTAGGCAGTGTCAAGAACTGTGGGCACCAACCTGGCTTGTATCGCAGTCTGTGCCGCGTCAGGAGGCTCTCTGTTCTCCCACGAGATTGCCGTGAACGCAGACCAGAAGGCTAGAACCATTGACTAGGATTCGCAAATCAGCATCGCGATTGCGCGAAACGGCCATGTTCTAGAGTATCTCGCTGCATATGTGCCCTAGCAAATGTGTGAGAGTAGCGTTTGGTAATGATGCGCTTAGCCTTCAGGCGTTCGTGAGACATGTGTCGTGGCTGTAAGCGCTGTTTGATACCTCTGCTGCGCATATAACCTCTGACTTTCATAAGCAACAAGGTGTGGTGTGGCACAATTACACCCCTCAATCTGGCTTTCACGCTTCGTGCAGTGCTTACGTGTTATACGAAACGACTTTGACGTGAATACAGACATGACGATTCTCAAACAACATGAGCGTGCGGTACCGTTTATCAACGAGCCTCCGCCTCGACGGCCGAGACTCTGCTTCGAAGTCTCTCGTCGAGAATAGTGCACACCTTACCCTCCTCACGTTCCTCAAGCCCCAAGCACGATTTGATCACTCGCCCTACAACAGCACCAGGTCCTTCCGGAAAACGGACGAAGCAAGGAGCATTTGTCGCCGAAAGTGGGCAGCTACTTGGTCGCGGATCCGAGAACACTTCTGCCAGTGAACCAAGGCATCCGTGCCCATACGATCCCAGCTCTTATTATTCCTTCGCGAGTTTTGAGAAGCGGCGTTGCAGTCTCTGCGGAATGCGAGGGCCAAAGATCGTGCACAATGAGCCAGGTCACACCTGCAAGACTGGTCGGCCAGGCTCACACATCAACTCTGCATGTACTTACAGGAGACACTCTGCAATTGATCCTCGTCATCTCGCCCATCTTGCCAATAGCAGTGGCTCGGTACTTCTGGAACCTCGTTGCGTCACCCCAGAACGTGCTGCGAAGCGGATTGGTAATCCGCCCAGAATCTTTCGGCTCCCTACTGGTATAATTCGATTATCTATAGCGAGTACAGCCAGCGCCAGTCAGTGTCGCGATCCTGTTGCAAGACCACCTTCAAGACTTGGCATGAGATCTTCTAAGGGTGGAGCACAGGGCTCACACCTCCAAAGTTCACACCTACACAGTCCTCACATCAACAGCACTGGATCCTCGACTAAAACGCCCACAAGCCCAAAGTTGCATCACCTATCTCTTCTGCCGCATTCAGAAAACTACCCGTTTGTCCATAAGAGCGAGATACCACAACATGCAATTGCACTTCGCGCTGGTTCATCTAGTCCACTGAATAATCGAACTAATAGCCCAAGGAACGCTCCCAACATGCGCGAGACTTCTGACTTTTCGGATATAGTGTACTATGGTGGTCGAAAGCCATCCCTCTCTGGCAATCGAGGTGATACACCAAAGCCGCAAGCGACTACAGTCGTCGTGAAGCAGGTAAACGTCAGAGGAAGTGCACTCATCGACCTCCATGCATCGCCTCTCGATGCCGCACTAGCCGAGAGCGAAATGTACAGGAAGTACCTACCCAATCAAAAACCAGCGAAGCTGTCACATGCTTTGACTGATGTCGCCGACAGCAGCACATCCTTCGGCAGTCAAGATACCGGCAGTAACAAGATTGGCAAAATGAGACTTGAACTCAAAGGCGGCGATCCGGCGTTTACTGGAATCCCTAGGCTACGAGGTGGGAGCGGGCATGAGCGGGCTTCAACTGACACCTTCAGTTTCAAGCTCAAACGCTGGATTCTATTTTGCCGATATTGTTCAAGATCCCACGACGACAATGACGACGATTTGCCTTCGGCGCGTTTGGTCGCTCCAGAAAGGGTGGCAAAGATGCGCCAGAAGATGAACGGAACCGCACCTCTCCCAGCCCATCTATGCAGAGGAACACCGAGCATTGCGTCCAGCTCCTCTATTCCACATACTAATGGAGTGGCCGAAGACCTCGCACCCGCTACTACATTCACAACCACTATCTTAGGCCTTCCAAGGCGCTCCATGTCCTCCCGTTCTTCGACATCCCTCCCTGTGCCATCACACTTCCACCGTCGTTCCAAGTCGCCAATCAGTCAACCCGTAACCGTGAATCCAGCAGAAATTCTTATCCCACCCATCCCATATCTCCGAGGCGGTGCCGAATCACCAGACAAAATGCCACCCACTCTCTTCTGGCTCGCTGGCGGCACTGGTCGGAAGCCAATAAGTTTCAGTGGTTGGAAGCAATCGCGTCCCAAACAAAGGACGGGCGGGTTGTTCGGCATGGCTGTCTTTGGTGGGAACTATGGACAGGAGTATAAGCTTGAAGCGAGTGTGCTCGGTGACGTAGAGTGCTCGGCGAGCGTGAAGGTGACAGTGGGGGATGACGCGGGTGTGAACGACGTGCGGGGCGCTGTTGATTCGTCAAGCTCGAGCTCGAGCTCAAGTGGGTCGCTGAAGGTTGAGCCCTTGAAAGTGATTACTGCTGTTGCAGACGAGGCTGCGCCTGTTGGAGCTGCTGAGCCTGTCCAGCGAGCGCTCACGCCACCGCCGACCGAGGCTATAGACGATGCACCACTGTGCAGCGGTGCATTGCCTATAGATACGAACGCGGATGTACCTGGTGATTTCATTGCTCCATCTCCGTCGAGATGGGGCAAAGACAAAGTGTACGACGTTGTCGTGTTTGCTGAGAAGAAAGGGAAGGTTCCTGAAGCTACGGCTTAGGTGCTGATGGTGACTTGAGATTCGGTAGCGCATACTTCAATAGGCCTGAACGATACAAGCTATATTTTCTCTCTATCCTGATTTAGGAATTGTGTCGCCGTTGCTGTCGTGGTTCGTCGAGGAATGGATCGGTAAGTCTAGCGTTTCTATCATTTCTATATCGTGTTTCGGCCGACTCGCATCATGTTACGAGTCTCTATTGTGAGGATTAGGTTTTATGAATATTTGAACGCTGTCTCCTTCACGAACACGCCAGTATCTGCATGTGCTTACTGCTGGAGCTAACGGACGCGTTGCGGTGCCGGGTGGTCGCGATGGCTCATATCACAGCGAGCACCCTGGTTTGCCGATAATTCAATTGATGGTAATCGAGGTAAGTGTCTTGAAAAGGTCTACTACACAATGCTTTAAGGTGAGGACTGGAGGGGCCAGCTTTGAATGCCATTGAGTCTGCAAGGCGACAATGGCCCCTGAAAAGAGGCTGAGCAAGGCCAAGCGCTGGACACTTCCAAGCACGCGTTCTCTATGCGCCTCTGATCATGTCGAATACGCCTCGGAACACCAAACATCCGAACAGGATTCCTCCAGTCGTTTTGTCGCTTTTATCGCTTTTGGCTAACCCTGCTGTGGTTCGGCGCTAACTTTCACAATTACCTATCAGCCCTTCACAGCGGACAATTTTCAACGCGTGCTGAGATATCATGATAACCTGATGGTCAAAATATGAGGTCGCGACAAGGGAACAAGGCAGTTCATGACAATGTCCATCGGCCCAAGGCCCACTATCGCGAAGTTGATTGTCAACTCCATTTTTGACGCGATGGGGACCTATCGTTACTGCATCGCATATCCCCTGAAGATTCGGCCCAGATCATACAAATTGGCTGAATTCCTCCAGTCCCTATATTGGTGCTCGTTTGGGGCTTGATCCTGGCCGTTGTTGGCAGAGGACTAATTCTCTATTGTGTCGGCGTATCATCACTACCATATACCAAGCTGTGCAGCCAAATTTAGCGGATTGTCCTGGTCTACTTACTTCTGTGAGAATTCTGAAATGAATGCCTGCCACAGATCATGCGGCCATTTTCTCTTGTTGGCTAGGCCAAGTGTCTCGCCTCGATGCTGTCCGTGCCGCAGCGCAGCTGAGACACAAAGCTCCCACGGCTCTGCAACGCCGACCACTCGCATACGCGATCCCCTGCACCGGTGAGCGAGTTCGTCAAGGATCTAATCTCATTTCACCGATATTTCAGGGCACCATCAGGCTCTAGTCCGGTGCCAAGGTCAGGATCGTACTCTCCAGTCAGTTCAGTCGATGTCAAGGTTCCCCCAATCCCTGCAAATCTCAGTGATACGCATCTCTTGCCAGTCCTCTTCAAGTCGGACAGTATTATGGGGAGATACTAGTGAGTAGCCGCGGGGAATCGGTCCGCTGTACGTAGACTTTCCGCTTTGAGAAATGCAACTACACTGGCAGAGTTGTAAGTAAACAGATGGAGCAGACTCCATTGTGCCGCGACCTTGCAGCCCTATTCGGATCTTTGACCCCCAAAATCAGTACAGCGATGGTCTGGAAAGTACTCACGACGATTCAGCCATTCGCTCGCTCCCAGACGCGTTCCTTATACATATGTACATGCGTGAATGAACACAGCGATGAAGTGATGTAATTACATAGACAACGAAGCGTTAAACCTTATTCAAACATGTGAAGGGGCTCGGCTGCCGGACCAGCAACTTTCCTTGGCGTCTGAGGCCTCCCTCCCGACTGTGATCCGCGATTGTCGCGGCGGATGTCGCGCCTTCTCATATCCCTGTTAATTTCACCTAACTATGTACAGATACTCATTGGGGTCTTTCATGTGGTGCAACATTGCCACTGCCAGCAACCACGTTAAGCCTGAACACCTTTTTATCAATCAAAACAGTATTGCAGTGCGCGTGCATGGACCACTGATCCCCAAGCGGTAGGTAAAGGTGGCACCGTCATTGACTGTGAAGCTAGTTTGTCTCGAGCGCAGAGTCTATGGGGTGCTCTGGTAGTTTCCCTACGAACTTTGATTATACGAAGCTGTGGTTGAGCAGAACATACCTCACGTGTCCACCACAGTGAGATAGTGCTGAAGTACGTCTAATACTAAGAGCATCCATGCGAGGGATTCCGGGTATTCTAGCTATCTCGCCACGAGGAGCGTCGTACAGTGTAGAAAGGATTCTGATTCCCAGATCAACTGGGCACGAGTATTTGCTCGGTCTTGTTGATAAGACAAGTCGTCTCATCTTTCGTTGCCTTGGGCTCGGATCTGCGGTTTGAACCCGACATGGCCATCGGAGTCTAACCTTCCACTGCCTACTCATCTCTCGCTCAACGTGTTGGAGCTGTTGATTCAGATCTCTCCTTCAATATTTAATAACCTAATTTCTGTCGTCATAGCATTGTCACTCGCGTCAACTTGTCAGATAGTTGTGCCTTGTGTCAGCTCGTTGCCTCCAATCCACCGCGACGCTATCGTGTCGTGATAGATATGGCGAAACATACTACCAATAAATCCTCGAAGCAATATCCGGTCGGAGATGATCTCAATATAGACGTGGAAGCCCGCGCTGAGCTCGAGAGAACTTACGGAGGTGCCGATCCTGGTTCTGAGGGTCGCCGATTCCTCATAGGGTGTAATGGTAGTTACCCAGATACCTCGTTTCATGCCTGTTTACTGATACTGTCGAGCCGGATTCGATCTCTCTATGGCTCCAGACAATATACTCAGTCCCTCAAGCTCCATGGAGGCTCTCTACACACCATCACAGGATGCTTTCATTGTTGGGATACCAGTAACAGATAAAAGGGATGGCCAGACTTACGGTAAGTGCTTTTCAACGATATGATGACAAACTGACGTCAGTAGGTGGCTCTCCCCATCCTTCAACGATAGCTGCCTTGCAGGTAAACAACGACCCGATTTCTGTCCTAAGAGGAGACCAATGTGAGACTCAAGAGGAGATAGCGAAGCAAAGAGGCCTACCATCCGATATCAGAGCGAACCTGGGAGTGTTTTCGAAAAGTGAAAGGAAAAGGTGTACAGGTAAAGAGGGCGACTCATGAAATTGCTATGATGACACACTCGTAAGGAAATAGAGTGCGAGGCAAAGACAAGAATTAGAACGTACTCTATCACATCGCAGAAACTTAGGGAGTATGAAGCAACAAGCGATTCTTTTTCTCTGAATGGCATACACCATGCGTGTTCTGGAGATCACTTGAAAGCCAGCGCCTCGGTCTGGTGCGTGGTATAACAACAGACATACAATCTGGCTAAGACTATCCTCCTGGTTGATGGACATCGGTATCATGGAGAATGTCACAAACAATCTAAGCTTCTCTACACGTACGCTGCTGCGGTAGGCTAGATAGAATCAGAGGCTTTCCACGTTCCGGTGGCGACTGCTGCAGTCGATTGGCGGTCCGTTGACAAAACGAATGGTGAAACAGCCCAGATCTTGGATTAGTCTGCGCCACATAGTCGTTTCCTACTCTGCATTTCAGAATTTGAATTTTGAAGCGCCATTCTCTTCAGTTCCGGAGGTGTCCAGGCACGCCAGTGTCTGCTTGTGCCTAATATAGCGATCGGTCCACTATCATCACCCCTCCAGAACTGAATGGTCCCCTCCTAGGAACCCCAGATATATCCTAAAAAAATCGTGGTTGTCGGCTATCCCTCAATAATGATAGCGGGTTGATGCGGCCCCCTTCTTCCCGCGCTAGCGAGGCTGAGTCGCTACGAGCGAGGCCGCGCATACGAGGTAAGTATCGCGGATGGGGGACCTATCGCTTACAGCACATCAGCGCCATCACATGGACATTAGGGGTATATTTGCCCTATGACTGCACCATAGTGCAACGGAATGAAGGGAATACGGTACCATGCACATTAGACCGACTTCTGGATTTGGTGTTCGCCCGGCGGGAAGGCGTCGTGCAACAGCATGCCCTTGTCAACTCTACCGTCATGAAATCGACTGACATACTTGACTCGAGCTGTACCGTAGCAAAGAGGCTGAGACATGCGTCAAGAAAATTACTCAGGTCTGCCCCTTTAGTCCTTCACTGCCGCCTGCAGCTGCCAAGGGCAACATGCATACGCCTCCGGCATCCCACTCCCGTCTCTACCCACGCTCCGCACGAAACATACTAAGTGCTCCCCGCGAGCCCCTGCGTATACTTGAACTCAGATCCTTATTCCCCCATAGAGCAGAGATGGCGCATCCTAAAGGGACGCAGTGTAATGTTCCGAACAGGATAGGGGAAAAGCAAAAATCTTTTAAGTAAAGAAATCGTAGGGATCATTAATTTGAACGCCATCCCTCCATTTGGCAACATGGATGGCGGAGTCCGATTGGAAATGCTTGCCCGCCATTGCGAATTGGAAACACAGTACATGCGGACAATTGAGGTTTCTAGACGACTCAGTGTGCAAGAGCTCTGTGTATCAAGCGTAAAATTTTCAAACAACTCCAGAAAACTGGTAGGGTGCGGTTACCTACCGGCAAGGCTGAATTCGTGTGTCCAGCGTTGGCCGTGCCGCAGCATGCCCAGGCACCACTGTTTGACTGTGATTTCTTCCCGACCAAACATACTGTCTAACACTCACACAGATAGACTAATTGTATGTTTGAATCATGACTTGCCGGCCAATCGCTTGATGGTAACGTTGCATTGTTTTTCGGTGTCGGTATTGATCCCGAAGCGGCCGCTTGCGCCATTGGGGTTCTCTTAGATCTACTGCAGTTGAGCGTTTGTGGCAAGCTGCGTCTTTTTCCGAATTCGAAGTACACATCCTACACGAGATCGCAATGACAAGGATTCAAACTGACATGGCATCGGAAAGACAGATTCGAGGCACAGTTTGTGGTAGAGTCTGCTGCTACACTCCAGAAAAGCGTGCCGGTCATGAACATCACTACTAGTAGGGAGGTAGGATATAGACATATTCAGCAAGAACACACTTCCCTAGCATATAGCGTGCTTAAGTTGTTTGGGCCCTCCAATTGAGCCTTACAGTTGCACGCCCCGACGTCCAAAACTTCCTGGGTAAGATGTAGGTCCGTATCTCGATCCAGATTCCCACGGTCGTGAAGCGCAGCTTCTAAGTCTTCGCTGTCAGACGGCTTCCCTATGTGTACAAGTCGTGTTAGCAAGAGGGCACAGTCCAAAGGCCAGGATTGGAACGATGGAGAGAACGAATCGAGGCCCCATTGACACGTATTGAATGAACCAGACGCTGTGGCCACGCAGATCAGCATCGGGGTCTCTGGAGAATCGTCGATTATAGAGACAAGAATACGCCAGACTCTAGAGCAGTACTCACAGCCTTTCATCGCTGGTTCGTAATGTCGTTCTTGGAATGATGATCGTTGTTTGGTTTGGATGACGTTGGCACCCAAGAACGGCAAGTTTAGGCGAGCAAGCTCTCCTCCGAATCGCTCCATCACGAACTTTTCCGACACCAACACCATAAGAGGTCTACGCATTTGCATTAGACCATGATGCCACAAGAGACGGATAATACAGATGCGTCGACGAGGCGACAACAGCCTCAGACGGCATCGCGCAGTATCTTCGACGTACCGGCGCCCATCAAGCAGCTGTTCGACAAGTTCCCACTCGTCACATACTCGATAAACGATCTTCCACAAAGCGCGCCGTGTGAGCGCGACACACCGATATTACATGTCTTCACTACAAACGAGGGCGCATCAAGAGGCACGCCGTCATACAATCCAGCATGTCTGAAGTGGCAGGTACGAGCAAACGTAGATTTCAGGGTGCACGTGGTGCTCATACGTTCTCTAGGCATACCTCAAGTTCTCCAATATTGAATTCCAGATCGCTGCCTCGAGCAATCATGCTTCGCCAAGCGGCGCGTTGCCGTTCCTTCTTCCCACACAACCAGACACACTCAGGCCTGTGCAACCCGTACCCTCAGGCAAGCTACAGCGATGGACAATGAATAACAGCGAGATGGCGATTGAAGAGTCAGGAGATCTGCGGTATGACGCATATCTTTCACTCCTTGATCACCGGATACGAAGGGCATGGGTAAGTTGTGAGCCTCCGGAATCAGCAGCGGTAGCTGACGGCCTTATAGCTCTACAGCATATATCTCTCGAACAATTTCACATCGATCGCCGAGCCATTATATATCTTGCCGACGTCAAGCAACCCCTTTGTCCGCCTGACAATAGCGCGCGAGCTTCGTCTAGCTGCGGAAAACGAGTTGCTCAAGTTCTCAGCCACCGTAAGCGCAGAGACACTGCACAATCAAGCAGAAGAGGCATTCACGGCTCTCGATTTACTGCTTGGAGATGACGAGTGGTTTTTTGGCGCAGAGACACCAGGTCTGTTTGATGCGAGCCTCTTTGCGTATACGCATCTGTTACTGGACGACAGGCTCGGCAAGGGCTGGCTAGACTCGCGCCTGCGCGACATGCTAATGTCGCGGCAACACCTGGTTGCCCACCGGAACAAGATCTTGGAGAAATACTTTCCGGTCAGCTCATAGACGCTGCCACGACCTACTCGGCTGGCTCCGACCTGTATTTCAAATGTACAACATTGCAGCCTGGGGAGCAGCACACAACGTACAACCAGCATATCAAATGTTCAGGGAATGTACAAAGGCCCGAATGACATGTACCAAGTGGACGGGACTTTCATGCCACTGCACACGGCGCGCGAATCTGGGACCAAAATTTTGTCGCGCAGTCACGTTTTCTAGCGCGTTCCGGACATGCGCGTCTGAGTCACGCTCCCGCATGCTGATCGACATACTGCCTAATTGGGCCGAAGCGCATGTACAGAGGGCGCATACATTAAATGTGTAGACCGTCAGAGGGCGCCTCATAATTCAAGGCACCACTCTTGCGCATTGCAGCCTCTGATCTTCATTATATTCAGCTCAGCGATTGGTGCGTGACACGTCATTAATCGCACTTCCGGACTCTCGATCGAACACAATCCCTACTCCCAATATTCTTATTGCGAGACCTCGAGTCTACCGCAACATCCAAGATGACCCAACCCTCGATCGACTCAACTTTCGATACATCGCTCGTGGACCTCAACCCCAACGTCTCCTTCTCAACCACCGAGTCCGACCCATCAGACGCCGGCACATCAACAACCACCCAGCAAATCTCAATCCCAAGTCCACTGGCCCGAGAGCCAAATCAGCACACCCCTCAAGCACCCCAGGCCATGCCCCCGAAGACATCAACACCCGTCCAACACATCGGCATTCAAGAAGCCTATGACCAATGGGCCACCGTCTACGACACAGACGGGAACATGCTGCAATCAATCGACGACGACGAACTGAACGCTCTTCTTCCCTCTCTTCTCGACCGCCTCGCCTGGTCACCAGCCTCAAGCGTCGCAGTCCTCGATCTTGGCTGTGGTACCGGCCGAAACACCGCACGTCTGCTTTCCTACGCCTGGCCATCTTCAAAGTCGATCTCTGTAACCGGTCTCGATTTCAGCGCTGGCATGCTGGCCCTCGCGCGCGCAAAACTCACCCCCATAGCCAACGCAAGAAAGAACGCGGCCCTGAGACTGGAGCACTGCGATCCGTTCCCCCAACCCCCCACGGCGCCCTCCAACCCCCCCACCTCGCTCGCCCTTCCACGTCAGGACCTCGTCATCTCTACACTAGTCCTGGAGCACATCCCTTTACCCACGTTCTTCGCCACGCTCGCGGCTTTGCTCGCACCAGGCGGCACCGCACTGGTGACGAACATGCACGCGGAGATGGGTTCGCGGTCGCAGGCCGGGTTCGTGAATGCAGACGGTGTCAAGGTCAGGGGCAAAAGCTACGTGTACACGCTAGCGCAGACGGTCCAGGGCGCCACGGACGCAGGGCTCGCGGTGGTGTCGGCGCGGGAGAGGAGTGTGGCGGAGCGCGACGTTGAGGACGGCGTTGTGGGGAAGAGGGGCGCGAAGTGGATTGGATGTAAGGTGTGGTTCGGGGTTGTGGTGCGGAGGGTGTGAACTGAGGAGTGTCGAAGGGGAAGTCGGGGTAGTAGTCTGGAACAACGGATAGGTTTTGGTGGTGCGGAAGGCGGATTTGGTTCTAAGGTTGAAAGATGACGATTGTGACGTATAAGAAGCTGTCGTGAGCGCTGAAAAAAATCCGATCAGATAGTGCCTCCCAACACCATGCTGATATGCAAACTCGATCCTTGACCCATGATGCAGTGCGTTTTACGCCTGACCATTTACTCTGCGCCAGACATGTCTCTGGAACTCCAAGCTCTTCGTTGGCTCACGAAGCCGCTTTGCTGGGTGCGGTGCTCTTATAATCACCGTCCTGTTTATATTGAACTCTCGCAATCAACAGGGTGAGTGCGCCAGGCAAGCGGTCCAAAACTCGCGAAACCCAACTTCGAGCTCAAAAGTATAAGTGCCAGAGGGCAGCACTTTGGGGAGCGTCCACACCGACGGGGTATCTGTTGAAAGTTCACGCTGCCCGAGCCTGATTAAGTGTCAATGATGGGCTTGGTTCTCAATTGACATTGATCATGCTCTCACGGCTCTCGAAGCACACCCGCCAGTCCCCTCAGCACATCACTGACCCCGATGTCATCCGCGCCCACGCGTTCCTTGACCTCGCGGTCGCGATCCTCTAGTCGTTTCGCTGCGATGCCGAGTACGCGATCTGCCACGCGCTCTGCTGTGTTGCGGTACTGCTCAATTTTGTGAACGCCGTCTGCGAAGAGGTCGATATTAGGTTCAAGCAATTGGCTGAGTTTGTTGAGATGAGATTGCAAGGCGAATGGGGTCGTGAATGTGAATGTGAAGGCTATCGACGGCGGTTGCTCTTCGGCTAATGTTGGCGGGAGCCGTAGTTGCGCAAGTATTGCAGCTTGCGCCGGGTCCAAAAGCGATGTATCGATGTTAGCTAATGTAGTTGCTGTGTCGTTCGTCGGGACTGCTACTGAAGGGAAAGAAGCTGCCGACGTCTCCAAACTTTCCCAAGCGGCCTTCTCCTCTTCGAGTCTATTCAAATGTCAGCAAACTACCTTTGTGAAACAGGACAATAGATATCCATACCTCCTAACCTCTTCTTCCAGCTCTTGCATGGTGAGCCTGTTTTTCTCGTTGGTTGGATTCGGCTTCTTGATCTTTGGTGGTGCCGCCGTCTCCTCTCTGCTGAACCAATCTGACAGCTCTGGCCGATTTGCGAAGTCATCTATGAGCTCCTGTTGTATAGCTCGCGCAGCCATTATCGCGTTCGCATTCTTAACATCGCCCGATGGCTTCTCTGGGAGTGCTTGCGACCCACACCATGTGAGCAGCTGCTTCATTCGTCGTGGTTCAGGCAGACTTTGCTCGATGTATTTGTAGTAGTCCGCAACCTCGATCGCCGAGTGTGGAAGCGCTGAATGTCTGTCAGTTCCAATTCTATCCTAAACGAAGGTTGTCTTCCAAAATGGTTGCCACTCACCATTCGACATGCCACTATCAATCAGCGAGCTTGCTCTCCTGCCACGCAGACCAGTGCTACTCCTCCTGTGCCCGTCCTTGTTGCCTTTACGCATTTCTTTATTTCGTGTGATGACCGGCGTGTCCGCAAAGGGGAGCATGATGCGCTTCGCATTGGGATCGCGCTCTTTGGCCGCGCTGACATCGTGCTGAGGTGTCTGCGCGCCTGCAAACGCGTGCGTTGGCTGTTCCTCGGGTGCTGGTGTGACCTGCTTCTGCTTCTGCTTCTTCTGCGGCTCAGAGGGCGCCTTCCTGCCTGTACGCTTCAGGGGTAGAGGCTCTATAGATTTGGGCCGGATTTCAAGGCTGTTCCTGTCGCTGGATATGCGTGCCGAACGTCGTCGATTCTGTGTTTCGGACGACTCTGACTCCACGGTGGCGATTGACTTCTTTCGTCGTGCTGGCGCTTTCGTGTTCACGGGTGCCGGTTCTGGCGACGAGCGCAGGACTTCTCCCCGTCGCGTTAGTTTGGCTACCCTGTCTTCCGGTATGCTTTCTTGCAATGGCGCAGCCTGCGCTTTCGTCGACTTGCGCGTCGTGCGCCGGGAGAACGTGAAGCCGTCGTCGTTTTCGTCGTACGCGACTTTGGTGGTCTTCTTCGTTGTGGTGGTAGTGGTCTTCTTGCTGGCGCCGTTCACCTCGGCCTTTACCCTCTTTGGCGCGAGCGCATCGTCATCGCCGAAGGCTTGCTTCGCGCTTCTTCGTCGCGTGCTTGGTCGGTTTGCGGCCATAGGTAGGGATGTGAGCGGGGAGCGCGCGAAAACGGTGGACATTGAGTCCGGTATGGTGAAGGTCAAATCGGTGTTGCGCGGAAGTAGCGTCGAAGCGCGTGCATGAGCGCAGGAGGCCGACCACGCTGGAACCTAAGTAAAGACGCGTTGCGTTGTAAAGAGTCTGTTTGCGGTATTCGTAGTTGTCGTCGTAAAGATTGGCGTTAATGCGAATAGCCTCGAGCGGCGGTGAGGTGTGCCTTCAAACGTGCGGGAGCAGGGTTTGGGGTGTGTGCATCGTCACTTCGTTCCCCTCTGGACGACAATGCCAAGATGTAAACAAACTTTAGCGGCGCACGGACGAACGCTATACCGACAACTCTCAAGTAATGGCGAGAACGTGCACAATTACAAGTAAAGATGTGTAGTCGCTGCGCTGTATACTAAAATGCCTCTTTATTTGGGCTTGAGATAAGGCCGCTACAAAACACCGCGGAAAAAGCAGCCTCCAGCAGCCACCGTTCCATATGCAACCAACCACTCGTGTATTTTATCCAGACACGCTGCCAGCATCTGTTGAACATGCAGCTATAATCATGCTCTACTCTACGACATGCCTGCTCCGGGCATGGGTCCAGTGACACCCTCAGGCGCCAAACTGCCCTCAATTCGACGCTTCGCATCTTGCTTCTCTTGGTGTGTGGGTTTTATCTTGCGCATGTCAGGAACATGTGACGGCCTATCAGGGCTGTGGCCAATGGACATGCCAACGCGGACCTGATCATCGTTAGCCAAGAGAAATGCTTAAGTGAGGGGAGGATGCTTACGAGAGTCTCCAGCGCAGATCGCGAGTTGTCGACAAGATCATCGTCATACCGCATCTGCCCAGGCTCAAAGAGCAACAAAAGTGTACTTCCACCGAATTTGAAGTAGCCAAGCTCTTCAGCACGCTTAACGTGGTCACCCTTGTTGCGCGTGATGACAGTGCTGCCTACCATCATAGCACCGATGCAAATGACCATAACGCGGCCATGGCTGACAGAGTCAATCGGGCAGATCACACGTACGTTCTCACCGTACACATCCAAAGCTGATCGGATAGCCATCGGATTGACGGTGTAGTATTCTCCCTCGATGATCTTTGGCTCATCAAGCACTCCGTCCACTGGAATGTGGAAGCGGTGGTAGTCCTGCGGCGCAAGACGGAAGATACCAAGGGAGCCACCATGGTAACGTGCGGCGTCCTGGGGGTAGGCATCGCCAAGAAGACGTTCGACTGTGAACTCACGGCCCTTGACCCAAATAGACTGCGCCTGGTCAAGCGTGTTGAAAACAACGGAACGGCAATCAGCCGGCGAAACAATGACCCGCGAGTCATCTGGAGCTGAGCAGGGACGCGCCTCAGGCTTGAGAGCGCGGTAAAAGAACTCGTTGAAGCTCTTGAACTGCGTGATGGGCTGGAGCACCTCTGACATATCCAGTTGATGGAAGGCAATGAAAGGCTCGATCTCCTTCGTAGACGCTGGATCGTCGTACTTCTTGCCCTGCTTGATGCTGAGAGATTTAAGCAACTTGCGAATTCGCTTCTTCTCCATGTTGTTGGCCTTGAGACCCTTGTAGAGCATACGAATACCCAGACGAACGTACACGCTCATACGTTCCTCGTTGATCTGACCAGTGAGACGATCTTGTACGAGTATATTGGCGGAATTGGCACCAAGCTTGTAGCCACCGTACGAGATCTTGGTGATCACCTTGGAGTACCACTTCCGCTGTGCTTGACTTGATGTGACGAAGCCTGACATGACGATATTGTTGACTTGCTTCCAGTCTTGGCTAGCACAGGTTGCAATGTGGGTGATGATGTTAGCGTCAGACCGCTTGTTCAGCTTTGGCTGGTGGCAGATGGGGCACTCGCGGATCTCGATGACGTGCTCTTCGCCAGTCTCATCCGTAAGGTCATCAGCAAGAAAGTCGCCTTCCTCCCCTTCCGATCCAAGTTGATTAGTCTCGAGGACGGGTATCGAAGTCCTCGAGGCGTTCTTATTCATTGGGGTCTGCTGGCCAGACGCAAGTGATGGTGTGGATGTGCCTGGGGTGAACAAGCCTACATTACCGCTCTTCTGAGCTTCCTTCTGCTCGATCTTTTGCAATTGGTCTTCGAGACAGATCACAGCTTCATCAAAAGTGAGTAGCTCGTCGCCATTGTGGCTGGCCATGAATCGGCTGAAGAAGCTGTCAATTGTCGAAGCGTGCAAGGTTGAGCCAAGTGTATCGAGCATGGTGGTCAGCTCAATCTTGTCAATGAGACCACTTTCGTCGGCGTCGTACTGCTTAAGCATGGCCCTCCAAAACTGTTGCCGCAGAGCCCTGTAAGGAAGATACTTGGCGCGGATGTAGAGTGTCGGGCTGTGTTTCGCCTCCCATCGCTCCTTGTTCTTCATTTCCAGGGGCAGAATGAAGGTCTTCAAGTCTTGGTCGTCAACGACAGAGGGGTCTACATTGATGGCAGGCACAGGCGCCAAGTTTCCGTTGCTGTCCACAGCTGGCGCGCTAGTCGGCGCAGGTGCCAATGAGCCGTTCGAGTCCTTGGCTGACAGGGACCCGGTGGAATTTTCTTTCTTGAGCGAAGGCCTGCCAAGTCGAGAGAGACTGTGCGACGATGACGAGCGCGAGACGGGAAGACGAAAGCGAGACCTCCTGCCGGTATCCGGGAGGCCTGGAGAATCTGAAGGCTCGGGCAGCCTGTAGAGACCAGTATCTGGGTCCGCAACTGGTGCAACGGAGACGGCCTTCTCGAGAGGGAAATTGACCATTCCGACGTAGTCGTTGCCAGAGAACTTGTCCTTGTCGATGACCGTGAAGTTGACAGAGTAGTGGACTTCGTGGCGTAGGACCTGGAAGACCAGCTTCTCTTCATAGACCGGATTCAGATCGTGTCTGACGGTCTTTGTGCGGTATGTCTTCTTGCCCAGGGATGTCACCACAAACGGATCCATGTCGAACGATGTCCGTGTGACATTCTTCTCTGGAGGCAGGTCTGTGATGTTCGACAACTCCAAGAACAGAACGCCGGCGACTTCTGACTTGTCGGAGTACTCGTAGCCGCTGATCTGCTTGGCCTTCTTCCTGAGGCGCGCCATCCTGAGCTTTTTGCGGCGCTTCTCGTGCTTCTCAGCCTTCTTCGACTCATCAAGGGCCTCGTTCGAGCTCGAGCTCTCGTCGTCGTCGAGGTCGGTACCTGCGCTGTCGGCACGCAGCAGGCCATTCTCGTCAGACTCGTCGGGGCTTGGTGTCTGGCCAGCGATGGCGAAGAACTTCTGGACGATCTGCTCGGGGGTGGCGGTGGGGTTGCTCGTGTCGATGAGAGTGAACTGGATCTGGATCTCGCCGGAGACGTGCGACTTCTTCTTCCCGCCGCGGCGCGACTCGAGCGGGAACCACTGCGGCTCGGCGACCGGGTAGCCGTGCTGAAAGACATCCTCGAGGATGACGTCAAAGTCGCCCATATAGTCCTTGCCGAAGCGGTCCTTGTCCCAGCAGGTGGCCTCGAGCAACAGGCTCTGCTCGTCGACGACGGGCAGCTCAAGCGTCGTGTTCCATTCGGGGTTCAACGTCTTGTTGATGGTCGGAGTGGCCTGCTTTGCATCGCCGAGAGCGACGACGAGGTACTGCACAGCGGCTGTCAGCGCGGCAATGCGGTGACCATACTATCAATTAGGGCACTCACCGGGTCAGAGGTGCCACTGCGGTCCTTTGCGGCGAGGTTGCGGCCCTGCGTCTGTCAGCGGATCCTCGTTCACCCCCGCGGGGCGCCGCAGCACCGTGGTAGCGCGCACCTTGATCACGTTCGCCCGCAGCACCAGGCCGGGCTTGACGTCGCTCATGGTTCGTTTGGGGCTGCCCTGGCGGCTCGTGGGGATGCTGTTGACCGAGGTGGTGCTGCTGTTTGCCGTGTTGTACTTGAGCCGGTGCGGCAGCAAGAGTTTCGACGTGAAAGCGGGTCGAGGCATGCTGGACTTGGTTGACGTCGCCGCCGCTGCTAATGCGGTTCGCCTGCTGTGCAGCGCCGTGTCTGCCGTCCAAACGAACACTGCCCCAAACACTGCCCCAAACGTGCCTCGGTGCTGGGGACCACGCTCCTGAAGTTGACGTAGCTGTGGATCGCAATTACCCTGGCACCGCTCGCTGTACCTTGGAACAGCCAGCCGGTCCTGCCCCTTTCGTGGCTGTTCTTGCACGCTGTGTATCAAACGGGGCCAAGATGCCCAGTGGAGCTTGTTGCGCGCCGCGGATTGGCGAGTGTGTAGCGTCTGCTTGTGAAGATGCAGAAGGCGATACGTGTGCGTTCTGGGGAACGTGGAATGTCGAACCTCGAACCGCACTCCGCAAGGGGCATACAGGCAGTAAATAGGAACAGGTCCACGGGTACGGGGCCAGGCCCAGCTCGCTACATGTGCGTTTACCAGACCGCGCCGTGGGCGCTCCGGGAGCGGCTGGAGCTTCAGATGAGAACGCCTCTGGCATTTGCTCTCGCAATGCAGAGCTTATGATTGCCGGTCGAGCGCGCTGACCATGTCCATACGGGAGCTGCCACCACTTGCTGCCATCGCACTGTGCGTGCGTATATTTGGTAGACGCCTGGCTGGCCGGCTGAAAACATGGCGCCGCCGCAAGGCATTCATCTCCACCTGAAACTTCACTGCATGCACACATCCGTCTCAGCAAGAACTCTAATCTGTATCTGCGTAGCACTGCACTGGCCGATTGGGATACGTAGCCGTCAGCTTCCGTACTACCAGTTCAACGGCACCGTCACCGTGATGTTGAGCCCAACGTAAATGCCTCACCTTAGCACGAACTTGTGGAGGGCCTTTATCCACCATACAGAGCACCCTTCTATGGCTTGACCAGCGGCCGCTCAGTCGTCAAAAACGGGTGTCTTGCTCCTGGGGAGCTGCTAGCCGCATGTATCTTACTGTACCTCTTTATGTACTGGTATTAGACGAGCAGCTTCCTCGTTTTAGTCGAGGACGATTAGTAGTAGGATTCGCTCGGTGTACCACATGATTGCAGATGATCGAATCTGCCTTGATAGCCTGCAGGTATCCGATCACCGAGCGAGACAAGCTGCAGCACGGTAAGGCGACCATCACTGAGCTTTGCGCAATGTCACTCATTGTCTCAACTTCAGCACCGTGCCTTTGTAGTCCCCAGCTTCCGGCTCGCGGTCGCCCGCCAGATCTGCCAGACCTGCCAATCCAAGTCTCCGCTCTCAGGGACAATTCTGACCCCACACTCTGTGCGAATCACAGCGCAGCCGCCATCTCGGACGACGAACTACTGTGGGTAACGTCATATGCTGATCTGGTACCAAGCTTCCAACAGTCCGGACGAGGCGCGGGCCGTGGCTAACTTAGCGGATTTGCGATCGTCGCGTGCGCAACTGCCACGACTGGCTGGTTATCATCTTGAGGGTTGTTGCTGTCTCGCCGCTGTTAAAGACTTCTCGGGTTGCTAGAGATGGGCATTTATGGAGTACGTTTGGCCGTTAAGGGTAAGTATGTTTGCTGTTAGGTTGTAATGAGACTCTGGTCACGCGGCTATTGGGTAATGGAGCAGTCATCTGCAGGCCTCATATTCTTGCACGTCTGGGAGGAAATCAACAGTTCTGTGCCTGGATTCCACAATCGAGCAAGCTTTGAGAGGCTGCGATGGTTCTGCTGCTGTGACCCACTTCCGCTTCAACTTGAGTGTGCGGTGCCGCCAAGTGTTGTGGCTGAGTTTCTCTCACTGCCTGATCTGAATGAAATATTAGGAGCCCCGTCACAACATGAGGCTTGTTCGCACAATTGTCACACAAATGTTTCGATTCCCGAAGATTACAACGCAAGTCTTCCTAGATGTCTTTTCGGTGTCTATAGGGTGAGATATCTGTTCTAGCAAACCCCCAGCAATCTGAGCGCGCAATATAAGAGCGACACGAAGTTGTACAGTTGTAAACCGCCCCATTCAAATGAAGTACTCCTTCATTACTCAAACTGGTTGTTGCGACTTGGATCTGGCGCAGCATATCCTTTTCGGAACAGGAAGCCTCGCAGTCTGTCCTCTATTCTTGCGAGCTTTACATTGTCAGCAATGAACTCGACCACAGCAGAGTCGACTCACGAAACCCGGCCGTACAACCCCATCTCTGATCCAGAAACCATAGCTTCCCATCATGTTCGCCATCATGATGTCAGTTGACAGCCTGTCACCTACGACAGCGATTTGATCTGGCCTTGTTACACCAGAATCCGGGTGCGCCCTGAAGTATGCCATGACTTCGTCTTTACAGCCAGGCTTCTTTGTTGAATGCTGGAGGACTTTGACGCCGGTGTTGGCTTCTAGGACTGCTGCTTGTTTGAGCTCCGGATCAGAGTTGGTGCCTGCTGTGTTGGACACAATGAGAAGTTTGGAGCCTGGGTAGGCTTTGCGGAGGCGTTGGAAATGATCCTACAGTTGATTTGAGATTAGACTTGCGAATAAGGGCAAACAGTTACAGAACATAGTGCCAGTATCGCATGACGTTGACGGGAGATTTGGAGTCGAAATGAATGTGAAGGTAGTGGAGAAACTTGGCCTACCTTGTAGGGTGTATGCACCTCATTAGTGTGTGGTATGGCAAAGCAGTTGTCTTTGTCAAGGACTACCGCACGAATGTCGACTTCTTTCTCTCCATCCTTGCCAATCTTCCTAGGAAACGCTTTCGAAAGGGGAATCGGCAGGTGATTGAACGTCGACACCGTATGCTGCGGCAGACATAACGTTGGATCTCTCAGAAGCCGAAACACGTTCAGCGTCCCGGAGACGTTCATCCACATATTGCAACGATGGTTAGTGATGGAAGAGCTGGATGGGTTGGAGCCCGGAGTTGCTGACGTAAGACAAGCACGCTAGTGAAATGGCAAGCGCTAGAGCTCCAACAGCAACTTCCGTGAAGACGTCGACCGTCGACAAGCCCATATACACGCCCACTTCGCTCTAGATCATCACCATAGTGAGGACTGTACAGTCTGCGATTTGAACCTCCGCGCTCCCCGAAACTTGACGCGACCGCCGACGCGAACGCCGAACTTTGCACGAAGCCAATTGAACGCTGCTCTTTCGATCTTGCGCACGCGCACGACCTGCGAAATACCGCCAATCAAGTCTCAAAATCGCGAATTGAACCACCAAAATGACGAGCACAATTGGTATCCCAATCAAGCTCCTCAATGAGGCTGCTGTATGTCGAATATTGTGCCGGGCAAAAACTGCGCTGACAGCTCTCAGGGCCACATCGTCACACTCGAGATCACTTCTGGGGAGGTCTACCGTGGCAAACTCATCGAAGGTGTGTCTTCACGAAATCTTGGCGATGGAAGACCGGCGCTGACAGCGAACAGCTGAGGACAACATGAACGTGCAGCTCAAGGACATCACCGTGACTGCGCGTGACGGCCGTGTATCGCACCTTGAGCAGGTCTACATCAGGGGAAGTCACGTGCGCTACTTCATTGTCCCCGATATGCTGAGGTAAGAAGGTCGATCTGCGACTGGCCGAAACGATGCTAACAGACATGTAGGAATGCCCCCATGTTCCGATCAAGAGGCACACGAGGCCGTGGTGTTGGCCTGGCGCGAGGTCGCGCCACAGTCATCAGGGCCAGGGCAAGCGGAGGACGAGGAGGACGTCCTTGAGAGGAGAGAGTTGTGAGGCATGAAGACTAGAGCAAAAAGCGAGAGAGGACATACCCCACGCGAAGAGCGTGCGCAAGGGCGATCAGGACAGGTATGAGGATTGCTCTGCCTGATCAGGAAAATGCGCTGAACAAACTAGTAGCAAGTTCTTCGAGAACGGTTAACCAATTCGAGGGTTGAAAAATTGTCTACGATGCGATCGAAGACGCACACATCGTGCAACAACTACAGCGTGCTTTTGTGAGACTCACTCAGAACAACTGCAACCGCCCGAGACTACGATAGACTGTGTCAGTGCCGAAGACAGCCAGGTTCATGCAATGCTAGTGGGGTGGTTTGGTACCCCACACCGACACCTCCGAACCCGACTCCGCAACTTTACATCCGTACCTGCAACCCTCGCCATGGACATCAAGAACCCACGACGCATACTTGTAGTTGGAGCGCCAGGGTCTGGCGTACTCAGCGTTCTCAAAGGTACGAGTTGTCCAAATGCCAGGCATTTCTGCAGCTAACGTCCTCCAGAGCTCACAGGCTCTGCGCCAGAACCTACCACCTTCGAAGGGCAAGAAACTACTGCCGGCCTCTCGCACGAATGGCACCTCGAAACCAAATACTACACCGCCACGCTCCCGATCTGGCTCGACGAGATCACTTCCGTCCCCGAATGGCGCACCGAGTTCACAAAGCCTGAAGCCCGCGAAGTTGTCACTGTGCTGGGGGGCTGGATATACTGCTTCAAAAAACCTGTAAGCACACAAGATCTTGACGCCATAAAAGACACCATGCAGGCCATCTCAGACGTCATCGAGCGTGCGTGCGGATACGCGGGGGACACTGTGTGTCTTGCGCTCGCTATGCCGCAGTCCACGACGCCGTATCTCGAGAAATCGAGTGAAGATTGGGAAGAATTGTGCATGGAGCACGGGTTCGAGTACGTTGATTCTGAGGCGAAGGGCAAGAACGAATTTGGTGAAGCGCTCGGCGTGCAGAGGGTCAGGGAGGCGCTTGAGGCCGGGGACTGGGAGGGCGTTGATCCCGATGTTGGCGGTGATGTTGAGGAGATCGAGGGGAGCTTTGCGGCGGAAGAGGCGGAGATGAATATGGAGCTCTTTGGTATCAAGGATGCGCTGCACGGAGATGGGGAGGGTGAGCTGGGGGAAAAGGATGTTGAAGAGTTGGAAGTCCTGATGAGGAATATGGTAGCCATTAAAGGTATGTCAAACCGCCGGCGAATTATTAAGAGTTGCATGCTAATCAGTGTAGAAATGGGTAAGGGCATGGAAGAAGCTGAGCGGAAACGCTTCGCTGCCAAGGCGGTTGACGATCTCATGAAGGAGCTGTAAGCAGCGTCGGTACATTGTAGCTATTTTAGTGATCTCTGGAATAATGACACCCATCACATCATGAATTGATTTCTTTGTCGTGAACTTGAAAAATGATGGGAGTGAGGGCGGTGTTTGAAAGAGCTCGGCCTGAATTCGGGTCAATCCTCGGCTCTGCACCTCTTCCCGCACCGAATCCGACGGCGAGCGTTCCTGCACCCCACACTCACTATTATCGTTTTTATGGATGGAGCAGAGAAAGGCTAGGGACTCACTTTCTGTGCGTCTCTTGATTTTGTCTGCGACTCTCGCGATGGCTGATTTGGAGATAGTGTGACCGATGTCGTCACAAGAAACTGAAGGTTCGAATGTCGTACTCAGAGTCGAAACAGCGCTAACGGTCATATAGTGCTCCAAAGAGCATCCAACCTGTAAGATATGTACACAGAGTGGAGCGACATGCCACTATAGTGGCAAGATTATCAGATCGCCTCTGACAAGAGCGTAAGTCGTATACCTGACAACTTACCCGAAACATTTGCTGACGAGATGCTAGCTATCTCACGAGCGTTGAGAAACGACTGCAAGGCCTTGAAGCTCTTGTCTCTCAGCTTCTTCCTGGAGTCAACATCGACGATGTACTCAGCTCGTCAGACTTCACGGGAGTCTCCCCTCTAGCTGCAGGGCCATCAACGCCAGATGTCTTGCGTCCTGCATTAATATCAAGTCCTCACAGCGACTCTAGCCCAGCTGTTTCAAGCGATCCAGTGCTTCCTGAAGCCGTACCCAGCAATGCAGACGGTTTCAACTGGCAAGAAGAGGATGCCAATGTCGACAGTCTCACCGATGGGATGGCTGCGCTTTCTGTCGAGCCCACCGGTGTTGGTTACCTAGGTGAGAAGCTCGTTGATCTTGATGCTTGTGTGGCTTAAAATCTTGCAGGATCTACTTCTGGTGTCGTATTTTTGCGGTGTCTACTGGACTGGGCTGGCTTCTTACACCAGTCTCATGCGCAACCTCAAGAACGGCGGACAGAACGCTCTACTCTCCTCACCGGTGTATTGGCTTCTGCGCAGATCTCCCACGCCGCTTTGACGAACCAGATTGCTTCAACGCTGATTGATGCATACTTCCAGGAGTATCATTGCGTCTATCCCTTCGTGCACGAGGCCACATTTCGCGCCCAGTATCATGAGATTGTTCCACGCCCAACAAAACGGTCCTGGGATATGCTTTACCATGCCATTCTCGCACTGGGAGCATGGAGTCTAAATAAGGACCGAGTTGGCCTAGAAGACTACCTGTACCGCCGCGCACTTACTCTAGGACAACATGAGTCGGTATTTGAGACGGCAAACCTGACCTCCATCCAAGCTCTGATTTTGCTCAGTAACTTGAGCCAGAAGAGGAACGCTCCAAACACTGGATGGAATCTCCTCGGTCTTGCAGTTCGCAATGCGCTCAGCGTGGCTCTACACAGGGAATTGCCCCACTGGAACATCAGTCTCATGGAACGAGAGATCCGTCGTAGGGTGTGGTGGGGACTTTACATCTTCGACAGTGGTGCTTCGACTACTTTCGGTAGGGCAGTCATGCTCCCGGACCAGGATTCGATGAACGTACATGCCGTTCTAAATGTTAGCGATGAAGTGTGTCTCTGAACGCAGGGACTGATGAACGTATGCTGACGGCATCTAGGCACTCACACCTCAAACGACGGAGCTACCAATAGAGTCAACAGAGCCAACGCTCTACTCTGCTCTGAGAGCTCAAAGCGATCTGCATATACACACGAATCATATTTCGAACAGGCTTCTCTCGGACCCCGGGTTATCTGCGGAGGCAGCACTTTCCATCAGCACATCGATGGACGCATGGTCACAGACCCTATCAACCTACTTCCAGCCCGACCATCAATCCTCCTGCCAACACCGATGGTATACATTTGCCAGGGTAAGTACTTCCCGCAAGATGATTGAAACTTCACTAACAGCAACAGTCACGGATGTGGTGGAGATTCTGGAACCTAAAGATTATCGTCTTTCGCCATATCCTGCTCCGGTACGCCATCTCTAAGAGAGGTCAGATCCCAGATCCTGTCGCACAGGCGAAACAAGAAGAGTGTACAAGATTGTGTATAGAAGCTGCCAACGCTACAGTGACGTCAATACATCAGTATGCAGCACAAGGTTTGACTAGGTTGGAAGGCTGGTATGCCACGTAAGTAATGGCGTCTGTTTCGATGACTGCGCGACTAACGTCTGTAGGTACTTTCTCTTCCATGCAGCATTGGTGATGAGCTTATGTATCATCAGCTTTCCGCAGTCGCCCGAAATGTCAATTTGGCACCAAGCGGTCCGCCTCGCGAGAAGTACATTTCGAGACCACCTCGTTGAAGACTCTCTTTCGGCCCGTTGCGTCGCCATCCTCGACCAGGTCATCACTATTGATGACATCGATGCTGGCGTCTTCCAAGACGTACCACAATTGGACCGCGACGCTTTGAGCAGTTTCCCCTGGTCTGTCGAGTCGAACGAGTTATTCAACTCTTTTGACTGGGACCTGACCAACAACGGTTTCTTAACCTGACGCAACCGCTGTCAGGGGCTGGCCTTGAAAAAGCTGGGGACTTCAATTCTGGATGGTGACATCAGGTTTGATCAGAAGCGACCGTATCATCTCGCCGTTCGGTATGTCGTTCGTCTCTGCTCGCTGGACGGCTGCTTCGTATGTGGATTCGATACCTGCAGCGACATGACGTGCCGCAATTCGATCTCTCACAACTTCAGGGGAAACATCGACAAACCATCTGAAGGTATTTAGTCGGGCGGTATTCCTCAGGCAGTCAAGTACCAACCTTTCATCGCAAAGACTTGGGATTTCATTCCACGGTTTTTGGTTGAGAAGTGTGTAGTTGCCTTCAACAATTACGATGCGGTTTCGCGAAGAGATGAGAATGTCGTTTTCGACGGGATCCTGGACGGCATGGTCAAAGCTGGGTGCATACATAGGCTGCTCAGGTTCGTTATCTGCTGTGACAGGCGTTGATTTCAGCGTCGTGACAAGACTCAGAAAAGCATCCGCATCGAATGTGAATGGAGCACCGCGCCTTTGGAATGCAGTCGCAGGATTGTCGAACGTCGAGAGGACCTTTTTAGTGTAGTGGAAGCCATCCTGCATGATCAGTCAAGGCTTGAGCACCTCATCATTTCTCTCGAGTCTTTACTTACCATCGGCACAACTGCAACATTTTCGATGCCGCATCCAGCGAGTTCGTGCAGCAATGCGTGCGATACAGTTGATTTCCCAGATCCAGGAACACCTGCGAGAGCAACAAGTACACGCTGACGGGGGTTGGAAGCTTGGCAATGTAGAAGCTTTTCGACACGACTAACTAGGTTAGGAATAGGCACGGCAGGACTACCCGTCTCCAAGTCGTTCGCCATATTTGGAGCTATGAATAAGAGTGAGCTGACGAGCGACTCAATTACGGGAAACGAGATCCAATATGTCTTTCGAGGGTGAATGCAGCATGAACACAAAACTCAGTCCGATCAGCATAGTGCCGACTCGTGGGGTTCGGACGACAGAAGTCCGACCTTGCATTTCGTCAACGCCCCATCTTTCTCCATGCACTAACGCGACAATGGGGCACGAGTAACCTTCCTCGCGGGGGAAGACAAGGTAAGTTGAATACCAAGCACACGACAGAAACTTTGTTCTCTGATTGAACCGGACCACTGTACTCCGACTGCTCTGACTCGCGAATGCGGCGCATGATATTGCAGTATACCTCAACAACGACCAGTTGTAAGACTACATAAGCAGAGACTGTCCACGATGAAGGAAAATATCAGCCTCTTGCTTTCCAAGCGCAACAAGCGCCTTCTTACCGAACATGTCGACTGACCTGCATCTCGAGGGCGCCGGCCATGAGGTCACTCTAGAGAAGAAGGGAGTGTACAAAGAGCTGCGCGCAAATCCTTACCTGCTCGGACTGTCAACCGTATGTGACTACCTCCATCATAAAACATCTAGTATGCTGACGGGATACAAAGTTCGCATCTCTTGGTGGATTTCTCTTCGGCTATGACCAAGGCGTAGTGTCAGGAGTGTTGACGATGGAGAGCTTCGCCGCAGCCTTCCCCAGAGTTGCTCTCGATAGCAGCTTCAAGGGTTGGTTCGTCTCCACCCTGTTGCTGTTGGCATGGGCTGGGTCGCTTGTAAATGGTCCTGTGGCCGACAAGTTCGGTCGCAAAGGCTCGATCCTGATTGCTGTCGTGGTCTTCACCATTGGATCAGTCCTCCAGGCTGCTGCAGTGAACATTCCCATGGCCTTTGTCGGTATGTAAAGTCCTGCGGTGCCAAGACACTTGCTAACAAGCATCAGGACGAGCGATCGCTGGCTTTGCGGTTGGCATGTTGACCATGATTGTTCCAGTAAGCGCTTGGTTGCGTACCATCTCCACCAATTTTGCTAATGCAGCCAACAGATGTACATGTCCGAAGTCTCCACCGCCGGCGTCAGAGGTACACTCGTTGTCCTCCAACAACTTTCGATCACCCTCGGCATCCTTATCAGCTACTGGCTTGAGTTTGGCACGCAATACATCGGAGGAATAAGATGCGCACCAGACATCCCATATACTGGCGGGACTCCATCGGCACGAACATTCGATCCCCGCAATGACGTCGGCCCCAATGGTTGCACGGGTCAGTCCGATGCAGCATGGAGAGTACCTTTCGCCCTCCAGATATTCCCAGCATTGGTCCTTGGAATTGGTATGCTCTGGTTTCCGGAGAGCCCTCGCTACTACTGCATGCGTGACAATGATGCGGCTGGTATCGCAGCTCTAGCACGTGTTCGCCAAGTCAACCCCGACGATGACTTGCTTCAAAAGGAGTACCTCTCAGTGAAAGCTGAGGTGATGTTCGAGCACTCCTATAACCGCGAGAAGTTTCCTGGCAAAACAGGCGTGTCGCTGTACCTTGCTGGTTACACTACACTCTTCTCTACTTGGCCGTCGTTCAAGCGCACAGCAATTGGCTGCTGTGTCATGTTCTTCCAGCAATTCATTGGCTGTAACGGTAAGCTCATAGAAATCTACCCAGATGACGGACAAAGGCTGATACCGCGTTGTAGCCATCATCTACTACGCCCCAACGATCTTCGGCCAGCTAGGCCTCACTGGCAAGACAGGAGGTCTTCTAGCAACCGGTGTCTACGGTATCGTCAATACGCTATCGACACTACCCGCACTCTTCCTCATTGACAAGGTCGGCCGCAAGCCCCTCCTGCTTTGTGGCGCCGCAGGAACTTTTTTATCGCTAGTCATTGTAGGCGGCGTCATCGGCGGCTACGGTGACACGCTCAAGGACCACCCCGCAGCAGGCTGGACCGGGATCACCTTCGTCTACATCTACGACGTCAACTTCTCCTACTCTTGGGCACCCATCGGTTGGGTTTTGCCATCTGAGATCTACAACCTTGGCAACAGGTCGAAGGCCATGTCTCTTACTACGTCTTCGACATGGTTCAATAATTTCATCGTTGGGCTCTTGACACCACGCATGATCGAGTCGATTGGCTACGGCACGTACTTGTTCTTCGCAGCATTTGCGCTGATTGCGTTTGCGTTCACTTGGTTCGTTATTCCAGAGACGAAGGGCAAGTCGCTCGAGGAGATGGACGCTGTGTTTGGAGATACGACGGCGCATGAGGAGAAGACGAGGCTGTATACTATTGCGGCGAGCCTGGGGCTGGAAGAAGCGGAGGCTGCGGCTGACGACGAGAAGTTTGAGAAGCCTATGCGGCTGGAGACTACGAAAGTGTAGACATCCCTAAGATCCTCTATGACCCACGAAATGTATAAAGTTAAGCAATCGCACCCACGACGAGTTATGATGTATCAGAACAACTCTCTTCTTTTACCAAGTGCAATCCCACAGCTACGACTCTCATGTGCTTGATTTAAACTCAGTTTGAAGTGTCCAAACCTTATTCAGCCACCTTCATGCTTTGGACCTGTCGATCTTGCCTGTACGGCAAGTAGCTGCAGGTCGCCTGTGGCTGTCACGATACTGCTAGACTGCCCCGCTCGTTCCTCGAATCGCGCATCGCACCCAACAACCATCGTGGCGCAAGCTGTCCACATGTGACAGCTCAGCGCCTCGTGTCCACATCAACAACGCATGTGCTGCGCGAAGAGCCAATGAAAACGCGTCGTGATAGGGCGGTGCTGCGCTGATGGAGGGGCTTTGGGGCTGAGTCGCGCGGTTGCCGGGGCTATGGTGCACGCTGTCATCTTCAGCTTGCAGGCCTGCCTAACACTCACCTGAGGCAAGGCTCACCAGTGTATTACCCACCAACTCTCCCTCCTCTTTCAGATTAAAAATTGTATCTAGCTGCAGCTTCGGCACAAGGATTGACGACTCGAACACCCGCGAAACAAGCACGAAATGGGTTGTGAGTTTCTCTGAGCGTTGTGGCTTTGAGGCCCAACGATGACGAATGCGGGGCTTGGAGGGGCTGACGCAGCTACAGTGGCATCGAAGATGGCGGCAGCAAATGCTGCAGCAGGATACCCTCCCCAGGGCGGCGCTCCCCAAGGCGGCGCTCCCCAAGGCGGACAGGGTGGCTATGTGAGTTAGAAAGCAGTGAAGGTTGTTCGACCGCACAGCTAATAGTTCAATAGCCCGGCCAGCAACAGTACCAAGCGTATCCAGGGCAGCAGGGTGCCGCTCCTCCCGGCCAAGTAAGCTCTTCTTTCCACCCCGTTCTCGCTTGCTCTGTATCGTCATCATCCTTATCACGCGCGCCACATCACCCTAGGCTTCCGCAAGCTTTTATTGTCCCCCACCTTGTTTTTGGCTTCTGCCGACCAACCCCACTGCTTGAAAAGCACCCGCCTGGACACAACACCGGTCAGTTGTAGCCACAACCTTCAGCCACAACATCATGCCCCTCTCCGGGAAGATCGCATCCTCCACCCCTAGCGGCAACTACAACGCCTATCAGCCCTCACAATATCCTGGGCAACAGCCTCCGTATGGCCAAAATCCGCAGGCGCCTGGACAACCACCACTGCCCTTGCGCCCCGGATCGCAAGCCCCGCCGCAGTCACCTTACACACAACCGCCTGTTCCGGCTCCATATGGCGCGTCCTCATCACCATACCCTCAAGGGCAGCAAGGGTATAACAGACCCCCTCCCCCTCCGCCTGGTCAACCGCCTCAGTCTCCTGGCTTCCCACAATCACCAATGTCTCCATACCCCGGCCAGGCACCACCACAAAATCAATGGAGTCAACCACCACCTCCACAACAGTATGGCCAGCAACCATACCAACAGCAGAATCCGTGGGGACAACCGCAACAGCCCCAATACGGCCAACCTCAACAGCAATACGGACAGCAGCCCTACGGCCAATATGTTCGTAACCCTACACATGACATTTCAACATGCTTGCAATTATGTACTTTCTTCGGCGATGCAGAGCGAGCTTATTATGATATCGTGAAATGAGTGTGCGCTGACTTGTGTTTTGCAGGGACCACATCAGGGTCAACAGTATGGCGGCCCACCACCACCTCAAGGCCAAGGAGGCTTTGGCGGACCTCAAGGCGGCCCACCTCCGCTAGCTCAGGCTCAAGGTAGTCCCGCAGAGGTTCAGGCCTACAAACAGCTGCTTCAGGACTGCATCCAGGAGAAGGGACTACAGACATTCTACCCTCAGGGCACACCAGTCCTTGATCAGATTGCACAGCAGGCGGCAGGAAAGGTCAACCAGGTCATCCAGCGCTGGCGCGTGCAGAAGGAGATTGCCAACGACATCGTGAAGCTTGCTCTGTACGATATCGTGCTGTACATCGATGACAGTGGATCCATGCAGTTCGAGGAGGAAGGCTCGCGTATCAAGGACCTGCGCCTTATCCTGGAGCGCGTCTCGTTCGCCGCTACTCTCTTCGACGCCGATGGCATTTCGATCCGATTCATGAACACCGATCTCTCTGGCATGCGTGACCAGCAAGGCCGCCCTCTCCAGGACGGTGTCGCCACCGAGGCCCAGATCGAGACCGTTATGAGTGGTGTTCAGTTTAAAGGTCTCACTCCTATGGGTACTTCGCTTCGCAAGAAGGTCATTGATGAGATCGTTCTGCAAAAGGCTCAGCAAGGTCAGCTCAAGAAACCCGTTCTTGTCATTGCCATCACAGACGGTCAGCCCGCTGGCGAGCCCCAGAATGCTGTCTTTGATACCATCAGATATGCATTCGACACTTTGCAGCAGAGGTTCCCTCAGTACGGCCGCGGCGGTGTTGCTTTCGAATTTGCCCAGGTCGGTAACGATGAGATGGCAAAGAAATTCCTCGGCAAGTTGGATGAGGACCCACAGATTGGTGCTATGGTCGACTGCACATCCAGTGAGTATCATTCTACATATTCAAGCGTAATTGACGCTAACCTATCGCACAGACTTCGAGAACGAGCAGGAAGAGATGTCACGCGCCAACCCTCCTGTAGACCTGACGCCCGACCTATGGATCATCAAGCTCCTTCTCGGCGCCATCGACCGCTCATACGACTCTAAAGACGAGAAGACCAACCCTGCGCCAGGCGGCTATGGCGGCGCCCCAGGCGGCGGCTATGGCGGTCCTCAGCAGGGTTACGGCGGCCCACCACAGGGCGGCCAGTACGGCGGTCCTCCACCAGGCCAGTACGGCGCACCCCAGGGTCAGCAGCAGTACGGACAGCCGCCACAGCAGGGCTACGGACAGCCGCCTGGTGGCTACCCGCCTCAGGGCCAGCAGTACGGTCAGCAACAGCGCCCTCCTCAGGGAGGCGCGGGAGGTTACTCGGGCCATCAGCAATATGGCGCGCCGCCTGCTCAGGGCTACCCTGGTGGTCCCGGCCGTTAAGCCGGTCTAATTGTTCAGTCTGCTCAGCTGGAGAGGTTCGGATGGGATGTGCTGATTGGAATTCTGCGATCGAGCCGCACTACAGGATGTGGCATTGGGACTTAGGCGTAGATGTTAACGGCATCGGTAGTTAGACTGGATAATCCAGTTAGTACTTCGACAGTCGGATGAATGAAACAAGACAGGGTAGCGCATGCACAATTAGTGGCGACCCTTTCTAGCAAGACGAGGAAGGACTTGCATGGTCCATCACAACGATCCTATCAGCCAAAGCGCTACGTGACCAACAGTCTGATCTGATATTACTGGGCAGGGTGTAGGAGAGTCTGAAATCTTCATGTATTCCTGTCGTTGTCCGCTGTCTTAGTCTTCTCTAGTCTTGGGTATCGAGAGATGCCATGTTCCAAATGCCGGTCATCGTAAAGCATGTCTGCGTAAATCGTTACGTCGTTCACGTGCCCCTTATCATCAGTACTCTTCCCATAGTCGCTTGCCATCTCGCAGATGACTGTTCGTCTAATCCTTGTGACTCAAACTTGCGCCATGATGCTCTGCACCCCAATATCCTCCGAGCCATCTTCAGTCCAACTCAGTGGCTTTGTGCGGATGCAAATCGCTGACTTGGACGGATGGGCATCGCGAACGTTGACGGCGACGATATCTGGCGTGTGTGACTCGACCGCCTGCTCTGCTAGTGCAACGCCGCCGTCGACCTCGGCCTCGCTACCCTCGGAAATGCAGGAGTAGACCGAGAAGCTCGAGTCGGAAGTGCAGCTGCCCTCTCTGTCGCTGCCGTGTGGCGAATGCGCGGTCCTTACTTTAGTCATAGCTGGGGCATTGCCGACGTCCTCAAAGCCACCGACGTATGTACCGTTGCGAATCTCATTCTTCTCCTTCTGTCGCCTGACTCGGCGGAGAGCACCGATGTCGAAATCGCCGACTGGGCGTCTAGCTGTTGAGTCGCGGACTGTACCTGTGCGCGGTACAGGCAGCGTGATCATGGACCCCGATGAGCTCGAGTCTCGACCTGGGTGAAAGATGGCTTGCATTGCCGTCTTCAGCCCTTGGCGTGAGAGAAGTGGCGGAATTCTCGACAAGTCCCGTGCTATCTCACCAGAGGATCTGTGGCCAATGTTGTAGAAGCGCCTACGTGGACGACGTAGAGCACGCAGCTCATCGACGTCGGTCTGCGTAGTCTTGAAGGTAAGCTCGCTCGAGTCAGAGGCTGTTGTGGAGGCCGTGTGGGGCGCGTCGGTGTTATTAGCGAAAGTTATCGTAGTTGGAGTTGGAAAGGGCGATTGGTCGTGGCCAACTCGAGTTGCTGACGATTGGTGTGATGCGCCGATGGAGCGCAAGACTCGCGCTGACTTGGTGGGCAGAAGTTGTGCCTCGTCCCGGGACATTGGCGGAAAGTCGGCTGACACTACAGCAGCGAAGGAGATGTAGACACGGTCGCGATAGTAGGGGCGACAGGTATGGCATGCCTTGAAGGCGCAGGCTGCAGACTGACTCTTGTCAGTGGCCTTGCTGAGGTTCCAGAGCTTGGAGGTACTCACAACATCTTTGGTCTTGCTGTTCATAGTACCATCGTTGTTGGAGGGCACAGATGCAAAAGCCGCCAGTTTGGCAACTACATCATTGATCTGATTGCCTTGTATCGAGTCGTCGATAGTCTGCTTCAGATCCTGCTTTTGCGCTTTCAAAATTTCCAGCTGCGCAGAGGTGTATTGACCTTGCTCTGCGGTGCGAATGACGCTCTCACTTAAACCAATATCCTCGAGCTCGGATCGGAGAGGCGACTTCGGTCGTGGAGGCTCTCCATCTTCTGCGGCTGCAAGAAGGTCGTGAAGTGACGGTGAGCTACAGTCCTGGCGACACTCGTACAGGAATCCAATCGACGGCTCTCGACCACAGACGTAGCACTGCTGATCACGCCCATAGATGCGGTCCATGTCGACATGGGTGCAATTTGGTGTTCGCACACGCTTCGGCATTGTGCGCGCCTTGATGCTGTTAACGACAGTGAGGAGATGGTCGGGCAGTTGGAGGCCTACCTTCATATTGCTCGACGATGTCGAGAAGCGGGTTGAAGCAACAGATGGGCCAAAATGAGGTGAAAGAGTGCTGGTGACCCTGCCTCGATTGATTTGGAGGGGCGGTGGGCAGGCGCGCCTGCGGTTTAGTGTGAGCATGAGGAAATCGCAGCATAAGTGAAGGCGCAGGAGCAAGCGAGGCGAAGGCTTGGGCGGGGGCGAGCAGCCTCAAGACGCTCGAGTCCACACAACATACCAAACAAAATTCATGAGATGTCAAGGCTCGTGTTCAATGGGGTGTCCACCTGATACAGCAACCCGCAGAGCCATGGGTCGCTCCTGTTTGTACTGCCACGAAGAAGGCAAAGTACTCTGAATGACTCCAGAGATCATTTTGCTAAAGTATAGAGAGAATGACGCGCGCGAGACATGTCGAAACGCCGGAAATATTTGCAGCAGACGAGGCGGCGTGAGCGTTGAGGTTCAACAACAGCGCCATGCGGTTGGGTCTGCTGAGAAGGCTGGTGTAGTACAGACGGTCTATCGTGCGTATACGTATTTCCCCTCCAACTTTGTCACAACAATTGGTGGCGCGGAGTTGAAAGAGTGCAGTATCCTGGTCAAGAACTCCTGGGCTCAGATATTTCGAGTGCTTGGGGACACTATCAGGTTGGCAATGTCCTGCGAAGAGGCCATGTATACGTCCCACCATTGCCGAGACTGAAGTCAGCGAGCTATGATCCTGCTGCAGAGGCTGCAGATGTGCCAGGGCCGCTCCATGAGGCGGTTAGGTAGACAACGATCTGTCGTGGGTACTTTGTCCAAATAAGCCCTACACATTCAGCAGTCGTCGAATCACTTATGCTGGAGGCCTTCACCCTTCGGCCCCGACGTTGCAATGTACACGGAACTACTTTCAACATGCTCGAAGAAGCTCATCACGGCCCATCTCTTCCTTGTTGCGTTGGCAACCTGGTTCTCTCCTCAAGTCGCACGCAGTTTGCAGTTGCAGCAGTAGCCACCCGTTCGGCGACCGCCGACGGTCTCTGAAGCGGCTAGTGTATCCGTTATCTGAGTACTGTAGGTACCGGTATCGCTGGATACTTGGGTCGAGGAACACCATAATGTCGCCCGCTGATAAGCTCGCGTCAGGGCGCATTTCGACGCGCATTTCAATTCCGTTATCAGTTAGGGGACCAGGAGCTTCGTTTGAAACGCGAAGACACGAAGTAACGTGAGCGAGTCGCCTCAACCATGGACCGAGGTTGGGCTGAGTGCTGAGCGTGTTGCTGACTGCCGCGTTCTCAGCCGCCAGCAGCGCATGCAGCAAATCACGGCGCGCGCTAACATGCAATCGGACGGGTTCAGTGCCGGAAGGGCTGGGGACGCCAGTCGAAGGTAAACAACGCAGCGCTTGACGTGCCCCCGTCCCCAGCTCTCGATCCGCAGCCGCCGACCTCACCCCAAGACCCCCTCTCTCTCTCCGCCCGGCGCCCGTCGCATACCAGCCAGACGCAATGTCGGTCAAGTTCGAGCAGGAAACCACCAAGACGACGGCCGCCGTCGCCGACGCCGTGAGCGGCAAGGGTAAAGACGACCTACTGCACAATGTCGGCGAGGCCCTGACCAAGGGCGCCGGCCCCAATGGATACCTCGCAGTGAGTGTCGTGCAATTGAAGCCGTGGCTGGGCTGAAGACTGACGGGCGGCGCGACAGGCCTACCTCAAGCAGCTGCAGAGCAACCCGCTGCGCACCAAGATGCTCACCTCGGGCACGCTCTCCGGCCTGCAGGAGTTCCTCGCGTCGTGGATCGCCCACGACCGGAGCAAGAGCGGCCACTACTTCACATCGCGCGTGCCCAAGATGGCCATCTACGGCGCCCTGGTCAGCGCGCCGCTCGGCCACGTGCTCATCAGCATGCTCCAGAAGCTCTTCCAGGGCCGCACCAGCGTGAAGGCCAAGATCCTGCAGATTCTCGTCAGCAACTTGATTGTAAGCGCCCGCCTGTGGTCGTCGTGTACCTGTTTGTTGACGTGCGCAGATCTCGCCCATTCAGAACGGTGTCTACCTGGCGTCCATGGCGCTCATTGCCGGCGCCCGCACATTCCACCAGGTGCGCGCCACCGTCAGGGCCGGTTTTATGCCCGTCATGAAGGTCAGCTGGGTCGTGTCCCCCATCTCGCTGGCGTTCGCCCAGCAGTTCCTGCCCGAGACCACCTGGGTGCCCTTCTTCAACATCGTCGGCTTCATCATCGGCACATACATCAACGCACACACCAAGAAGAAGAGGCTCGCAGCCCTGAGGCGAAAGCACTACGGCGACGGCAGCGGCAGGAGCCAAGTAGGCGACAGGCCCAGCGACGACTTTGGCCGTGACCCCCGCGACCCCCGTGACCCCCGCGACCCGCCGAGATATTAGACGGCGCATCGCAACGGCCAGCGTATAGGCGGCCGGCGTACAGTCGGGCTCTCTCGGTTCTTCGGAATAGTAGGGAAGGCTTGTAGTGGCGCGCTCTAGGCTACGACTCTGTATATCCCTTGTGTTTCTTGTTTGATGATTGGAGGAGGCCGCAGGCGCGGTCGACAAATATATTGATATCCCACCCTGTTCCATCACTTTGAGAATCTTCCAGTCGGTGTACATGACGTCCACAACTCAGGGCATATCTGACTAGATAAACAACCAATGTGCAGGGCCATCGGACTAGAGTAACCAACACAGTGCCGAAGACCTTCCGCATCCAGTAATTAGGCCTTCACGACAGGCATCTTGTTGTGGTTGATCACCGACATATGGCTGCGCCACATGCGGGTTGCACGGAAGGGTCAGATGGTCCCCGCCCGTGGTCAAGCGGCTCACCGGCTCAGCACCTCAGCGCCTGGCCAGCTGCTCCCAAACTCAACCAGACACGGGCAACGCAGACTCTGAGCGACGGCTCGCCTGCAAACGCGGGGCGGACGCGACGACCTTCCCCCACAGGCTACCCCAGATCAGGCGGTTACGTACAGGCCGTCTGTCACGCCATATAAGTGTCGCTCGAGGCCTGCACCCGCTGGAAAGCGCAGTTACCCGGAGTCCAGTACATAGATTGCGCATGTGCATGTCGCAATCATGTCTGGCTCCAACGCATCGCCGCCGCGCTCAGGCCCATCGTCGCACACCCGCACCTACCAGGCCTGCATCCCGTGTCGCCGCCGCAAGGTGCGCTGCGACCTGGGGCCCGTCGACAACCCGCACGACCCGCCGTGCGTTCGCTGCCGCCGCGAGAGCAAAGAGTGCTTCTTCTCGGCGACGCGGCGCAAGCGGAAGCAGGACGGCGAGGACGAGGCCGACGAGGCCGACGACTACGAGGTGCGCAATGCGCGCAAGCGGAGCCGGCCCAGCGAGGTCGAGCACCACGATGTCACGGCCGTCAATGCCGCCGCCTACGTCTCGCAGCCGCTGACGCCGGGGGGCTCCATCGGCCGCTATGAGCCGCTGCGCCGGCCGACTACGGCTGCATCGATGCACGCCGTCGAGCACAGCGAAGAGGACATCAAGGCCCACAACGAGTCGGTCGCGACGCTGCAGACGGGCGAGATCTACAGCGGCCACGATGCCCTGAACCTGCTCTTTGAGGCCGCCCGCAACGGCGGCATGGACATGCACCACCGCACCGCCAGCGCCTCGAGCATCCAGCGCCCGACCATGGGCAGCACCCCGGGCTCCAGCTTCGCCGCCAGCCCGCACGTCACCGTGCCGCATGTCAGGAGCGACTCGCGTGCAGCGGCCGATAACGTGGACCCGGCCATCACGCAGCCGCCGCCGCCGCCGCCGCAGCCGCCGCAGCCGCAGCCGCAGCACCCCGTCCTGCCCGACCCGCCCAACGAGGCAGCCTTCAGCGATGCGATCCAGGCGTGGACCAGGTTCCGCTTTGTGCGCGCCGGCTGGTTGACCGCGAAGGAGGCCATTGCATACATGGACTACTTCTACGCCTACCTGTCGCCCCTGACGCCCATCGTTGTGCCAGACTACCGCGACCATGCCTATCACGGGAAGCTGCTGAAGGAGGAGCCCATGCTTGTCATCACCTTGCTCACCATTGCATCGCGCTACTCACAGCCCAGCGGCACCACCAGCGCGGGCGCAGCATCACGCGCGTATCTGATCCACGAGAAGCTCTGGAAGTACTTGCAAGGCATGATCGACCGCATGATCTTCGGACAGGAGCAGTTCGGCGGGGGCTTCTGCGGTGCGGGCCAGCAGCCCGGGTCAGACGTGAACCCGCTCTCCAGGAAAGGGCTGCGCACGCTCGGCACGGTCGAGAGTCTGATGCTGCTGACCGAGTGGCACCCGCGCGCTCTGCACTTCCCTCCCGGCGACGACGACGACGAGCTTGTTCTCCCGGACGATTTGGAGCACGAGAAAGGTCCAAAGGCGGACATGTACAAAGGCGTGGGCGATAAGCGTATCGATAGCTGGCTAGAACCGTGTTGGCGCAGCGACCGCATGTGTTGGATGCTGCTCGGCAACGCCATGACGCTCGCGTTCGAAATCGGTGTGTTCGACGAAACCAGCGAGACCGAGTTCGAGCAGGCAAACCAGCACCTCTCTCACGCCACTGTAAAGTCGTACTTTCGCCGAAAGAACCATCTCAAGAACCTGCTTATCATATACGTCACCCAGACCAGCGGTCGGCTGGGACTGACGTCGATGCTCCCCAAAATCGACCAGCGCGATGAGAACTTCGTCGGCGGGCCAACGCCAAACGAGCTGTACCAGCAGCGCGTGAGCGACATCAAAGCGCCCCCGATGCAATTCGGCACGCGGCCCAGCGCTGCGCAAGACGGCCACCGACTACCGCTCGAGTCCGTGGCGCACCAGGAACGCCATGCCGTGCAGGACTTGGTGCTCGACTTCTGGACCCGCATAGCCAAGGTCATGGAAATGGGGAATCTGAAGCTCTTCTCCAACCGGCGGAAAACGCGCGAACTGCTCAAGTCGGGGCAGTACGAGGACATGCTCAAGTTCTTCCAGGGCCCGCTGATGGAATGGAAGAATTGCTTCGATCGCGCTCCTCAAGGTAACAAGACTCGTCCTATCCCTCTCCCTACACACAAACCACTGACCATCCTCCCTGCACACAAACCACTGACCATCCTCCCTACACACAAACCACTGACCATCCTCCCTGCACACAAACCACTG